TCATGTAGGGTATTTAGGGTGATTTTGGTATTATATATACTTAAAAGAGCTCTTATTTTGCTAATTTGAAGCTGTTAAGGAATGATCTGAAATTGAGTCTTTTGAAATGATATTGGCACTTAATCTCATGCTAAATGGTGTACATAAGGGGTTCAAAAGCTGAAGGAAAGGTTCACTTGTTAGTTTTTCCCCCTTTTCAAGAGCTGGCATTTATTGTCTGGAAGTTTGACGGGGATAAACTCAGTGAATTAGCAGATTTTTTTTTTCGTGTATATCATACTCAGAGTTACCAGAAACTGCTAGTGAGGCTATGATCTGCGATCTGGAATGTATGTTCCGCAATCTGGGTCGCTCAATATGGTGTTCTGGTGACTGCATTAAAAAACGTATTGTTGGAGGGAAAGACACAGGTGCAATTGACGGGGTGGTAGAAATGCTTGAAATTTTAAACTGAGGAAAATAACCTCACGTGCTGGGTCTTCTTTCGAAAAAACGTTCAGATAATATATGTGCTGCATTGGTTACAAGGGAATTTGCTAAGTTTTTTTTTTATTTGACAATGAATCGTATTGTTTATCTTACCGATAAAGCAATAAGCTAACTTGAGCCTTTAAGTTTACTTGTTTAAATAGGAAAAGTGTTGGCCTAGATAACGCTTACTATATATGTTTAAATGTATTTTGTCCAAAAAATTTCTTGTGTCCTATACTTCAAATTATATTGTTTGGACCAACAAATTTGTTCTTCTGCAACACTCCGAAGAAGTCTAGCCCCAAGTCCCACGTACCGAGTGAAGCGGCATTCTGTATTCTCCTTTTTATTCGGTGTATGCGTTTTGGGTAACCTTCGTTTTAATTGATTCTTTAATTTAAAACCTGTTCTCTAAATTCTTTTTAGGAGAAGATGCAAGTGTCGTACAATATAAAGATGGGCTTTTGTGTTTCATAATATATATATTTTTTGCTAATATTGGCATATTTCAGATCGGCAGTTCTCTTCCTGTTTATGCAATTTTGATCATGAATATCTCTCTTGGATTGTTTAATAGTTGTACTTCTATCAGTTTTTCTTTCTTGATAATGGATCTGGTAGAATATTAAGTATTTTGGGTGCTTCTGATTTATGATACATAATGAACAGGGTGATAATGTTCCAGCACCATTTATGACGTTTGAAGCTACTGGATTTCCTCCAGAGATTCTGAGAGAGGTAAGTTATTGTGCTTCATAGATGATTCGTGGAAGTTCTGGGGTTAGAAGAAACTTGGAGAACTATTTCATTGCCTTACTTGGTTATTAAACTTATTGTTTTACTTCAATCTCATCTGTTGTCACTTGTCGCAGGTGCGATATTTGCTCCGGAGGAGGAGCATATGTCGTACGCTGCACTGCTATTGGCACAATTATCCTAATTTTTGGTGGAGGCAAAATGGAATGTTGGAGCCTTTGTTGGTCATCTTCTAGCGGGGTGATTGGCCTTTTGTCCAACTCACACCTGATTGACTGGGATTTCTTGCTCATTGGCTCTGCGTCCTATGTCTTTATTGCACTCTTTTGTTGCCTCTAGTTGCTTCTGTAAGCAAACCCACACCCATGGGTTCCGTTTTTTTTTTTTTTTTTTATTTGCTTTGATATGATTGAGTTGAACCCCATTTGCTTAAGCATAGATATGCTAGGTGTCTTTCGTTCTTTTGGTAATCTGTAATGGGTATATAACGTGCCTTATTCTTTTCCAGATGCATTCTGCCGGTTTCGCTTTTCCCACACCTATACAGGCACAAACATGGCCAATTGCACTGCAAAGCAAAGACATAGTGGCAATTGCTAAAACTGGTTCAGGAAAAACATTAGGGTATTTGATTCCTGCCTTCATGCTTCTTAGAAGGAGGCGTAACAATCCTCAGAATGGCCCGACAGTACTGGTTTTGGCCCCTACACGAGAGCTTGCTACTCAGATACAAGATGAGGCTATCAAGTTTGGTCGTTCATCGAGGTTTAGCTGCACGGTGGGTTTATTTCAACTTTTTTTTAAGTATTAGCACGTTTCGCCCCCTTAAATAGCTTGGCAACATATCTTAACTGAATTCGTCTATATTTTTGTTTGCAGTGCTTGTATGGTGGAGCTCCAAAGGGACCGCAGCTGAAGGAATTAGATCGAGGAGCTGACATTGTGGTGGCAACTCCTGGACGGCTGAATGATATCCTTGAAATGAAGCAGATAGACCTAAGCCAAATATCTCTCCTTGTGCTTGATGAGGCAGATCGCATGCTTGACATGGGATTTGAACCTCAGATCCGTAAGATTGTCAATGAGCTTCCACCTCGCAGACAAACTCTGATGTACACAGCAACATGGCCCAAAGAAGTGAGAAAGATAGCGGGTGATCTTCTTGTTAACCCTGTTCAGGTTAACATTGGCAGTGTTGATGAGCTTGCTGCTAACAAATCAATTACACAGGTAGCAAATGCAAAATGCTTGTCTGTTTAGTGACATAATTAATGATAGTAACCCCTTATCATTGATCTTCATCGAACCTGAGAGTGATATAAACTGTATTATGTGCATCTTTTATGTCACATACATCTTTACTTGAAGTTCTCCGGGATTAAGATTCTTAGAAATAGTTAGTGGTATTTTTGGTATCTGCTTCACAACCTAACCGTTCCTTCATCTCTTATTGTCATTTTCTCCATGGTCTTTCCTGGAATAAAAGCCGATAAGAAGTGGGACACTTGATGCATAATTATTTAATAGGCGTTTATGTATTAGCATGTTAGAAGTGGTGAACTAAATACTTTGTCACTTTGCTGCTTGCTGTGAGAATTTTCTTCGCTAGTTAATTAGCCGTGCAAAGTTTCAAATCAATATGTAGTGTTGCTTAGCACTTAAAATCTGAAATATGTCAAGAATTATGGAAAAAAATTGTTACGTGTTGAATTTAAACACAGATAATGGCCATGTTCATTTGAATAGATTCATCAGAGTATTAACCTAGGTCAAAGTATTTACTCACAGAACTCCAAGTAGAGTGGTGGAAATTTAAGAGCGTTTAACCCTAATACTGTACATAGAAATGAATGAATCAAAGTATATAATGGAACAAATTGCAATGAAGATGTAAAGCAAGTTTATAAACGATAGAAGCGAATGAATGGTACCTTAATGAACTTTAATTATTATGCGAGTCAAAGTTTAAGATATTCCGGTAAGGGTAATTAGAAAGAGAGAACATGAACTTTGGTTGAGTTTTGAAGTCTAGCCAATACTTTAGCTTGTGACTAAATTCCACATTATCATAGCTGAACACATCAAATCTAACTAACATTACTTGGATGATAAGAAGAGCAAGTAGAGATCTTACTGGCTGAAAAATTTGCATTACAGACACCTTTTGATCTCAGTTAGCACTTGAAGTTACGATGCAACCTTAAAATTTAATTTGTGGACAATGTGACCCTGATATAGATTTTATCTCGACTTTTAAGGATAAAGAACTAGCCTTCTCCTGTAAGTGTTCAGATACTCAGCTAGTTATTGTGTTTAGTGGGATGTAAAATGTGCCAGGGTAAGCAATTGCGCACGATATGCCAAATTTTTTCACGCTCTTTTGATTGTAAGGTAAAGCTGGATAGATTTAATGTGCTTACGTAAGTCGTGCATGATTATATTACAAAAAAAGGTATGGGTTAAGTTTAAAAACTTGACCTGGTTACCTTTCTTTGATTAACAATTTTCTATGAGATATGATCTTTGTTTTGATCACGTTTCTATTGGATTCATATTACAAAAGGGTGCGGTCCTTTCATTTGGATTTTATGAGATGAAGCTCTTTCTGATAATGAAATTCTAGGTTTGACAAGGTTGGGGGCTAATCTTGTACTCTTATCTACTCATTAGTTCAACTCTGCTATTGGATTCAATCTTGCTTCCTTTACTTCATGGCCTGATAATCTTTCTGAGATTCTGCTCAAAGAATTCTTTTCTGCTGTGCAGCATGTTGAAGTGGTACCTCAAATGGAAAAACAGCAGCGTCTGGAGCAGATCCTTCGTTCCCAAGAACGGGGTTCTAAGGTAATTGTTTTTTGTTCTACGAAGAGGTTGTGTGATCAGCTTGCGCGCAGCATTGGACGTAATTTTGGAGCTGTTGCTATCCATGGAGACAAGTCTCAAGGCGAGAGAGACTGGGCTCTAAATCAGTTTCGGAGTGGAAAGAGCCCTATATTAGTTGCCACTGATGTTGCTGCCCGGGGCCTTGACATAAAAGATATCAGGTTACTTCTTTGTTTACCTTTCTGAACTAGTAAGCAACAAGGTCTGTTTGAAGTACTCGTATCCCTGAATTTGCATTTGTTGGTGTCTCAGGGTAGTGATCAATTACGATTTCCCTACCGGGATTGAGGATTATGTCCACCGAATAGGGAGAACTGGGAGGGCTGGTGCAACTGGAGTGTCGTATACTTTCTTCTCTGAGCAGGACTGGAAATATGCAGCTGATTTGATAAAAGTCCTAGAGGGGGCAGACCAGCAAGTTCCCCCTGAGGTGAGAGAGGTGGCTTCTCGGGGTGGGTCTGGTTTTGGCAAAGATCGTGGAAGGGGCAGCCGTTTTGATTCTGGTGGTGGTGGACGTTGGGATTCAGGAGGTCGTGGTGCGATGAGTGGTGGTGATTTTGGTGGCCACGGTGGTATGGGTGGTGGCAACTTTGGTGGCCGTGGTGGTATGAGGGACGGGAACTTTGGTGGTCGGGGTGGAATAAGAGATGGTGGGTTTGGGGGACGTGGAGGAGGCCGGGATGGCTTCGGAAACCGTGGTGGAAGAGGCGAATTCTTTCCCAGGCGTGGAAGAGGACCCCGAGGATTTGGTGGACCGCCAGGCAGTGGTCAGGTTGGTTGGGATAGGAATGACCGTGGCCTAAATGATCGGTTTGATATGGAGGGACGTGGTGGCTATGCACGTGGGCGTGGACGGGGGGCGGTTTGGTAATAGAAGAGACCTTCCAGATATGGGTAGAGGTAGAAGTTACAGTCGTAGCCCAGATATGGTTCGAACGTGGGGCAGCCGGAGCCGCAGCAGAAGCCGCAGCAGAAGCCAGAGCCGCGGTCGCAGTAGGAGCTGGAGCAGGAGCAGGAGTCGCAGCCGAAGCCGGAGTTGGTCGAGGGGCCGGAGCCGTAGCTATAGCCAGAGCCCTAGCCGGAGCAGGAGCCGGAGTCGCAGCCGCAGCTATGAAAGAAACAGGAGGCCTCGTGTTTCCAAATTTGATCAGAAAGAACCGGATGCTTCAGGCCTCGGTGCCCCTCCTGTGTCGGAAACTTCACTTGCACCTCCGGTTATGCCACCGGATACATTTTCAGGCGTTGAGCCGGCTGGGGATCTGCCTTTGGTTGCTGAGACAATGAATGTGCCTCCTGTGACTGAGGCAGAGCCTTCAGTGGCAGAGCCATGAATTTTGATTTTGGCGTTTTCTGGTAGCCATTCATCTTCTTTCAGGTCATTGGTTCCAAATTTTGCTTTTACGCGATGCAGCTTAGTGAAGGATTGGCCAATACATGAATACCTGAAGTCGCTGTCGTGCATGGGGATGAATTTAATAGCTGGATGTCAAGTATTGCGTGGGATGTTGTGGGTGTAGGTCATTGTAGTAGTGCACTGAGTAACTTATCAGCTGTGATAGAGCTCGGAATCAAGGAGGGGTTTCTTCCTTTTGCCGGATTCAAGGGGTGCCCGTGCCGAAGTGGGACTTTAGGTAATAGTTGGTCTGATACTTGGTGGTGGGATTTTTGTATTCAGGATTCAGGAAGCAGCTAGCTATTGCATTCTCTGTTTCATAACACTGCGAATTCAATTGTTTCTGCTAAATTATTGATCCTGCCGAGCGGGGGCCAGGCTTTGGTTCTTCGTTAAACTTCAATCATTAGTTTGAAATGGTACAATAATCTGATTAGTAAGCACAGAGAATTAAATAACTGGGGACCGGACTAAGATAAACATGGTAAGGCATTATAGCAGAGAGACCAGCTGCGAAGAATCTAAATTTTCCGAAATGAACCTACGTGGGGAAATGGCGCCACATCCATAGACAATCTCCGATCACCGGAATAAGAGCAACGGACACTCAGTAGCCAGTATAGTTACATCGGATGCCCGGTTTTACCATGAACTCAACATGTAAGATTAGCATTTTGATCGCATTCCACTCTTAAAAGAAGCCATGGCGCACTTTTCGGTTAGGGCTCTTATTATCAAGTTGAGCCGAGCACTCGACTAATCCTAGTGTGGTCACATGAGTGCTCCCATCCAAAGTAACCACGTGTATCACTCACCAAGAGGAAACGTCTCTCAACCTTTCGGTAGGAGAAGAATTCAATTTAATTTGTTTTGAATTTTGGAGTTTATTTAAATGCCTGCTAGCCATGGAAAACTCTATTTGCTCTATATAAAGGCTCTTGCACATCGTCTCCTTAACAATCAGAGGGAGAACAAGTATAGCATCATAGAGAGAGAGGAAAAAAATGGGTTCTGCTCACATCATATCCTCCTTTCTTTCTTGCTTCATGCTCGTGCTTTTATCCATCAATTTCTCATCATCTGCAATTCTAGAAATGAAGGACTCGGACAGAATGGTCAAGGAAATTTGTTCTAAGACCCAAGACCGTGTCTTTTGCATGCAGATTCTAGCATATGACCCGCCAACAAAGGGCGCAGCTCTCCTCAGGAGCCTTGCGCTGTTCTCTCTGGACCTAGCTCAAGCCAGTGCAAGCGAGACGCAGATCGCAATCCACGCGAGGATCAACGACACCGGCGACCCGCAGCTGAGGGAGGCGTTTGCCGCGTGTTTGGCCGCTTACGGCACGGCCGTCTCCGCTCTGAGGGACGCGGACAAGTTCGTCGCTTCGGGGGATTATGTTAACCTGAGAACTCAAGCTTCAGGTGCTGCGGCTCAAGTCAAGCGGTGCCGAACTGCCTTGGAGTTCAAAGAAGAAGCAGGTCGAGCTTCAATCGGTGTCAAGAACAATGACTTGAAGCGTACTTGCAGCATCATCTTAGCTATTTCAAATCGTTTGCTTGCTCTGAATTAGTTCTCAACAAGAGTTGTATCAATGCTGGGCCAAGTCCTAGGGCCATGAATAACATCTAAAAATCTAAATATTTCTCTACAAGACACGATTCATTAAACGGAATTATAACCCAGTAAAAAAATTATTGCACGAACCAAATCCAAACCAAATCTACAGTAGTCAAAATTATTATTTGGCCAGAGTTTTGTTTGAATGATCTATATTCTGTGTTGAGAGACCCATGTTAAATATACATTAATGGATAGTAATTAGGATTATGAAGAGGTAATCTTGCCTGCATGCTATAATAAATGTCCTTTTGATAAGTAGCATCTTGAGGGAAGCAGCGAAAGCATGTTTTAGTAAAAGAAATTTGATAACAAGTGCTTTGAGACACTTGTTAGGTAACTAATTAAGAAAACTTTACTGATTTTGTTTTCCCACTGCCTCGATCTGTTCTATCCAGAATTGAATTGATTCTTAGGCAATTTTTATGGAAAGGCCCGGATCTGGGGCCAGGGGGCGCGAAAGTGTCCTGGAATGTAGTCTGCGTTCCTAAGGATGAGGGAGGACTGGGAATTTGTAGACTCCTTGAATGCAATCGGGTAGCCCTACTCAAGCACATATGGATTCTCTTCACTGATAAAGAATCTTTGTGGTGTAAATGGATTCACTCCAATTTCTTGAAGAACAAGAATTTCTGGATTGCGCCCAAACCAACGGTATGTTCTTGGGCTTGGAAAAAAATTTTAGACCTCCGTCATGAATTCCAACTTCATTTCTGTTGGCACATTGGTAACGGAGTTATCACCTCCTTTTGGTTTGATAATTGGCACCCTAGGGGTCCTCTTTACAAATTATTCACAGACAGGTATATTTACAACTCCGGGATTCCGCGAAGCTCTACGTTAGTGATTTTTTCTCATCCGATTGGCCCCAGTCTTCGGTCCTAGACACACTTCGCTCCTGGCTGCCTACTGGTTCTCTTCAACCGGGAGTTAGCGATAGTATCTCTTGGCAGGGACATCCCTCCGGCGACTTTTCTTCTGCCAAGGCGTGGGAATCCATAAGGATCAAGGGCCAGAAAGTTAAATGGAGTTCATTCATCTGGGATCCTTCCATCGCCCCCAGATACGGGTTTCTGTTATGGATCACTACTCTGAATAGGCTTCCTACGCAGGAATATTTATTGAGGCACCATAGGATCGACGAAAGGTCCTGTGCTTTTTGCCGCCGCAGACCGGATTCCACCGATCACCTCTTTTTCGGCTGTAATATCACGAGCTCCCTTGCTAGCTTTTGGGCTTCCAAATGCAATCTTTCCTGGCGCAATAAACCGTGGCTTAACAACCTCCGATGGGCTATACGGGTCATTGGTGGCCATAGCTTCCACCAACGCATTGCTCGCTTCTCCCTAAGCGCCTTATGCCACATTATTTGGACGGTAAGAAATGATATCCTTTTTAGGAGCAAACCACTTTTTATACCGGCCATCCGCAACCATCTTATTAAGGTGACGAGAGATAGAGGTTTATCCTTTAAACCCGTCGAAGATAGTCCCCGCAACCAAAGAGTTCAAGCAAACTGGGGTATCTCTGCCTCTATTTTTGATTCCTAGTATTTGCTTAGCAGTTGTATAGCTGGCTTTCGCCGGAGTGTTCGGCCTCCTTGTTCCGCCCTCGCGGCTTTTTTCTTTTCTCAATCGTACACCTTGTACCGTGAGAACACCATCCTTGTTCCCTAGGGTACGAGGTTTTGAGTACGACGTCCTTTCTTTGTACTTGGTGCGTTAAAAGTATAAATACATCTTACTTTACCAAAAAAAAAAAACTTTACTGATTTCATTTACTGATTTATATGCGTAATCGTTACTTTGGAAACTGATTAGTGCCTCGAGGGCTCATAAGAAAGAAAGAACTTGCTAATGAGTGCCCTCAAGGAACTTGGTTAACAAGCAATTAAGAAAAGCTTACAGTTTACGGTATGTCATTTTGCTTTTTTCGTGATTTGTATAATCACTGGTGAAAATTGCAGCATTCCTCATTCAGCATGCTTAACAAATTACTTCAGAATACTCGCTAAGAAAAAAGAAAAAGAATTCAAAAAATGGAAAATCACATCATGCGATTGTTTAAACGTAATCCTTTTAATAGCCTTTAAAGTTAAAGGCAACTTGAGTGGGGCTAATGATTCGTATTGGCGTGTGATTGATCTTGTCTGTAATTTGTGTTAATTCATATCAATCTAAAACATCTTAATTTCGATTTCAGATGCTAAATAATTGACATGCTACGAAAGCATATTAATTCATGTCAATCTGCATTAACATCTAAGCGTATCGTATTGAGTTGTATTCCGATTTTCACTCAATATTTCATTTTCTATCGTATTCGTGTCATGTAAACGGATCGTATCTACCGGGCCCTAAGAATCTGTCCCTTTTGACTGATAACGTTGGACAATCAGTTACAGATTTACATTATTTTAAACTTCACAAGCATCTTGTTTCGAGCTGCGGTTACACAGCTCTTTACGTAAGAGTCGAGACTTACCAACACTTCTTATTTTCTTGATCATAATGGCAATTTCTGGGTGCGATTGAATCAGGACTTTGTAGGCAGTCCTAATTGGACAAAAAGAGGGTCACATTACCGAAGGTCTCTGATGTACTTGTCTGCTCCGGTCTCGGCTCACTTGCCTCCCGCTTTAGACCGGACAGAGGAAGAGCGTGTCGACAATGCCGCCCTTAGATCGGTTGAATATCAAGCGGGCCTCGTCCGGTACCCCCAATCGACAAACCGTCGTAACTTCGACGTAGGGGACAGTGGTGCTCCGGAACCCGGCGCAGCACCGTCAGCAAAGGAGGGGCCTGCAAACTTGTAGACGGAGAAGGCCATGAATGATGTTCCTCTTGGTTGGAATGCTGATCACCTTGTATGATTCTATCAATAGTTGAATGTGGAAAGAAATGACATGTTTATATAGCTTATGATCCCTTGGGAATTTTCAATCTTTATCGAAGGCTCTGTTTTTTTCGCTGAAATTGAATGATTGGAAAATATTTTCCTAATAATGAATAAACGAAAATGTATAGACATAAATTGCTTATATCGCTTACAAAAATGAATAAACGAAAAATATTTTCATTGTGCATGAAAATGTATAGACATAAATTGTTGTCGATAATGCAAACGTTTTCCATTCACTAATTATGTTGTCATTTTATGGAAAATGTTTTCCAAATTTTTCAGTTTTTTCGCAAAGTAAATAGAGCCGTACTTATATCGGAAAAATTACCAAAAAAGTCCTGAACCTATTGCATTTGTGCTAATTCAGTTCTAAACCTTTCAATTTGATCAATTTAGTCATGAACTTTTTGACAATTTACCAATGTAGCCCTTTTGGCCAATTTTGGCTGGAAATCGCTGACGCGGACGCCAGCAGTGCCATGTGGGACGGCCGGTACTAACGTGGACAATATTTATAAGATCCCTTAAGTAATTTACCAGCATGAAAAAGATCCCTTTTTTGGCCAACGAATAGTAGAAAAGTTTCCCGGGATTAGTTCTCAACTGGACTTGTATCGGTGGTTGGCCAAAAATAAACCTAGACTTGTATCAGATTCGGCTTGAAGTATTGAAGTTTTGTTGGAAGATCCATATTAAATGAAGCATGTGTGCTATTATAAGTGTCATTTTAACTAAGGATCAATGCCCGTCCTTCGCGGATCAGAAATCAGATTGTTCCTCTTGCACCAGCTGTTACCATAATCAGATCGTTGACTCTAATCATGGGTCACCCACTCCCGCCCGGCTCTAGGACGGGTCATGTATTTTGAGATTGCATGAGACTTATCTACCGGCGTAGCATCCCATACATAGACGACGTCAGATTCAAGACATAAACGACAATTGACCCCAATGAAAGGCTTTTCCTGTCATAGTGATTCTTCTATCAAACCTTCTGCTTTTTGCCGCATATTATTGTCTGTTCTTACAAAATTCAGTAAGATTTGCCAGTGATCTAACCAAAGGCATAAACATTACTAAAAACTCCATGACAACCTAAAGAAAAACTGCAATGAATGGACAGACCAGGTTTGTCCTCATAAAATCTGAATTTAGATAAAGCATATTCCACACGGCGATACAGCATTATATTTTGCCTTGTAATTTGCAAACCGAGTCTCTCAAGTTTGAACCATATCAATCACCTTGCCCAACATAATGGCACATTCCAACTTCAGTTCTGTCATACATAACAAAATTATTATTCGATCGCAATGCTAGCAGAGCTTGCAATGCGATGTCAACTCAGGTACGGACAATGGTCGGCTTGTAGTCGATCACGGCTACTTTCTCCAGACAGGGAAGGAACAGGTTCGCGAATTCGACGTGGGCAGGATGACCAATGTACTCTGCTATTCCCTCGGTGCTCTCAAACGTTGACTCAAAGACGTGCGTGAAGCCTTGGTGCAAGTTCTCGATGCTCACATCCTTTCCCCTAATTTCACATGAGAAATGATGACCCGAAATCAGGCATCTGAACAAGCTCTTAAGGAACATTCCATGACAGATCGCCAAGACATAAATATGAGAACTCTAGCGCACCCAACTTCTATTGATCAAAAATCTTGAATCACTACGGCATAAAGAGAATAGCCAATGTCCTTTCACTACTAGTTGAATGTTGTGAATCTAGCCCGACAGAAAGGCTTCTTCGATTGAAGGTGTTTCTACTGCATTCTAATTTGGTTGCAAGAATCAAATGTAAGCTCAGAACAAACTCTGATCCAGAGATAAGAGGATGAATACTCCAAAATGCTTTGGATCCTCACTATTGAAGGATAGATCTATCGAGATCACGACAATGTAATCTACTAAACTCCGAGTCCTACAGCTTAAAAACCCGTGTTCTCTTATTACCGGTCAATCTTCGCTAATCTATTTCTCCAAAGAACCTCTGTATCAAAGAGTTCTTTTCACTTTTCAGGGTCCTATTTCAGTTGGAAGATTGAATTGGAAGCTCAGAACAACTCCAATCCAGAGAAGGACAATGGACACTCCAATATGCGGATGCAATGAAGTAACCAAACAAAGAACAATCTTTGAAGACAAATTCTCTAGGATTTAAAACACCAATGTCAGGCAACATTACACCGATTTCTCTTCTGATAAACTCAATCTCAGCAAACCCAATTATCCATTAATCAGACCGAAAAAGCCAACCACAACCCACTTGCCCTCTTTGATTTGACGTCAACAACAACAGAAACAGCAACAACAAACAAAATTTCAACTCCACGATGAGGTTTCAAATATCTATAACGTGCACCTAAAGAAAATTTCCAAGATCGCAGAAAAACCAATTACAAAAACTGGGTTCAAACAAGCATCAAAAGGAGGGAGAACAACGGGAAAAAGCCCAAAAAAAAAAATAGAGAGACAAAAAGAGACACAGAGATCAGACAGATAGAGAAGAATACCAGTGGAAAGATTTCATGGGTTCGATGAGGTTGACGAGATTGGCGTAACCCTTGATGAGTTGCTCGATTTGGTCAGGTGGGGTCTCGTCCTTGAACTTGGCGAGCAGCACATGCTTCACCAACCCCTTCGCTTCCTCCATTGTTTTCAGCTTCCTAACTTCGGAGTTCAAAATTACTTGTCCCCGCTACAGCATCCCTTCATTTATAGTTGTTTGGAGAAATTACACAAACTTCACCCAAGTTTTGGGTATTATACTTTTACCCAAAAAATTTTCGATTTGTTACACAGTACCCCCTTGGATTTGTTGATCCCCCTAACCCCCATGATATTTTCTTTTAGCATAAACAAAAATGTATTTTTTATTTCATTGTTTTTTTTTTTAAGAAAGGCTCTCTTTTACCCTCCTTATAATCGTAAAGGTGAGTTCATATGACTGAATTTTTTGAGTCGTTTGAGAGTTCTATTTTAATCCGGTTCATACCAATTCAAAAGTTTATCACATTAAAGAAGTTTTAACATGCAGGTCCATTGCTAGCATGACAGTGTCGGCTCTGATCGCGGCTCATCCACACCCACGTGGCTTTAAGACGGGTCATGTACTTTGAGGTCGTCCGAAACTTATCTACTGGCATACAAGCCTCATATAGACGATATGAAATCCAAGACAGATAAGAGAATTGACGCCTAATGAAAAAGGCTTTACCATTACAACAAGTTGTTACAATAGATGTCCTATTCTTCTCTCGAATGTTATGCCTTTTTTCGGGGATGGTAATGTCTATTTACACAGATGTGGTAAGATTTACGAGTGATCTGACCGAAGGCATGAACATTACTAAGAACTCCATGTCAACCTAAAGAAAAATCAAGAGACACAAAACCCCAATGAATGGACAGACCAGGGCTGCCTTCATGAATCTGTATTTAGATGCTGCACTATTCCTGACTTGTAATTTGCAAAGACAAGTCTCTCGAGTCTGAACCATATCCTTACCCAAGTTAACGGCAGACTCGAACTTCAGTTCTGTCATACATAACAGACTTATTGTTTGAACACGACACCGGCGGAGCTTGCGATGCGATGTCAATTCAGGCACGGAAAGGAGTCGGCTCGTAGTCGATCACGATGAATTTATCCAGATAGGGACGGTACTGGTTCGAGAATTCAGCATGAACAGGATCATCCATGAACTCTGCTAATCCCTCGGCGCTGTCAACGTTAAGTCGAAGACGTGCGTGAAGCCTTCGTCCAAATTCTTGATGACCAAGTTCGTTCCCCTAGTTTCACAAGAGAGATGACAACCCAAGATCAGGCATCTCAGCAAACTGCTAAGGAACATTCCATGACAGATCACCAAGACATTTATATGATCACAAAGGAAAGGGGGTAAAAACAACACAGAGATTAGACAGACAGAAGAATTACATGTGCCAAGATTTCAAGGGTTCGATGTGGTTGACGCGATTGGGGTAGTTCTTGATGATTTGGTTGATCAGGGCAGGTGGGGTTCAGTCTTTGAACTTGGCAAGGAACACATGCCTCGCCATTCCCTTCCCTTCTGCCATTGTCCGCCTTTTCTTCTTCGGAGTTCAAAATTCCTGGGAAAAATTGTCTAAAAAGTCCGAAACATATTGCACTTTTACTAATTCAGTCCTAAACCTTTTTACTTCTTGTCAATTGAGTCTATTGGGTCAATTTTGGCCGGTCAGCGCTGACGTGGCTGCCCGCCGTCCAGCCAACGCTGACGTGGCAATTTTGAAATATTTTTTTTGAATTTTTTAATATTTCTTTCTTTCTGATGCCTTCTTCCCTCTGGCCGGTCCGGCGACCGGCTAGAGGCATGGGCCGGCGAGGTCGACCTCGCCGGCCTCTAGTGAAGCTCGCCCCTACCGACCACTAGCAAGGGCGAGCCTCGCCCACCGCTACTAAGCCGACCTCGCCCAGCCAAGGTGAGGCCGACCTCACCATCACTGGGCGAACCCAGTGCATGGTGAGGTCGGCCTCACCATGGCTAGGGGAGGTCGAGCCTCGCCCAACCAAGGCGAGGCCGACTTGCGACGGCGCTAGCCGGCCTCACTGTCGCTGGGCGAGGTGAAATTCAGCGACGGTGAGGTCGGCCTCGCCATGGATGGTTGAGGCTCGACCTCACCCAGCCAAGGTGAGGCCGACTTGCGACGGCGCTAGCCAGCCTCGCCTTGGTTGGGCGAGGCTCGACCTCGTCCAGATCTGGCAAGGACGAGCCTCGACCAGCCATGGCAAGGCCGACCTCGCGGTCACTAGGTTTCACCTCGCCGTCGTCCTCGCCATGGCTAGGTGAGGCCAACCTCACCGTTGCTGGGTTCCACCTCACCCAACAACGGCAAGGTCGGCCTCTATCTTACCCAAGCAGTGGCAAGCGAGGCTCGCCCTCACCGGTGGCTGCAGGAGCGAGCTTCACTAGAGGTCAACCTCACCAGCCTACGCCTCTGGCCATTCGTCGGACCGGCCAGAGGGAAGAAGGGCAGAAAAATATATTAAAAAATTCAAAAAAAATATTTAAAAATTGCCACGTTAGCACATCACCGCCAGCCAACCAAAATTGATCGGATGGACTCAATTGGCAAAAAATGAAAAGGTTTAGAACTGAATTGGCAAACTTAAAAGGTTTAGAACTAAATTAACAAAAGTATAATAGATTTAGGACTTTTTGGACAATTTTTCCTTTCTAGCATTTAAAGCAGATCAGCTCAAGGTAAGCACTTCATTTCAATCATCTGAGACTACGCTCCCATAGGCTTGGTTTTCCCCTTTTAGCTTAAATTACTCTATATATCTTTTCAACGGTTAAAGCGGATTAGTCAAGCTAAGTACGCTAGGTTTTCCCCTTTCAATTATCTGAGAATATGCTCCCATACGCTAGATTTCTGTTCATTTTACTTATAAACATATTTCACTGGTGACGCGAATCTATGTAACGTAGCTTTATGACTTAATCTTTGACAAGTTTTGAGAAAAACACTAATTCAGCTTGCATGTCAGTTGAAAATTGTGACGACCCAGTTCAACAAGAGCATGGAGTGATCGCCGAGAGGTAGGGGTGTGCAACCGGACCGGGTTTACCCGGGAACCGGACCGGCCCACCCGAAAAACAGGTCCGGGAACCGGTTCCTGTTTGAACCGGTCCGGGAAACGGTTCTATTTTTTCGGAACCGATTAGAACCGGTCCGGTTCCCGGGTCTAAGTGAAAACCCACCCGGACCGGTTTTAGAACCGGTTTTAAGTTACTGTAAAAAAACCCTAGCATTTGTTACTCTCAGTCGCTCCCTCCTCTTCCAGTTTACGAGTCCCCTTTCTTCTGGCCCTTCTCAGTCTGCTCGCGAGAACTCGTCGCTGCCACTGCTCGCCGCGGCTGCTCGTCGCTACAACCCAGCTCGTCGCGGCTGCTCGCCGCATCTCGTCGCCGCGGCTGCTCGCCGCAACCCAACTCATCGCCACAGCTGCTCGCTGCCTGAGTCGCCGTAACGCCGCTCGTTGCCGCTCGTCGCCGGAACCCAGCTTGTCGCCCCTCGTCGCCGCCTCAGTCGCCGCAACCCGACTCGTCGCCGCTCGTCGCTGCGGCTGCTCGCCACCTCAATCGCCGCAACCCAGCTCGTCCAACCCTTACGCCGCCGCGAAGGTCAGCTCACGGTTCCCCCCTCGATCCCGCTCCCACTACTACTGTTGTTTTTAGAGCGCGCGATTTCTGTGTGACAGCGAATCGATGTGGAAAAAAGAGACGAGAACGATCGAATCGCTTGTGACGAGGAAGTGTCGTGAAAGAACTCGAAAAGGGAAGGGAATTGAACGTTCTGTGCACGTCGCATATTGTATTTCGATACTCTCCCCTTGCCTAAGTCCGAGTTTCAGTGACCCCAGACCTTGGATTATTTGCCGCCACTTGAAATCTTGTGCTCTGGTTCTGTTCTCGGAGTGAATCGGCAACGGTGGCTGATGTTCCCATCTTTCCCTTTGCCAAAAAAGCAGTTGAGTTGACCTTAGACCATGCCCCTTCTTTGATTAACCAGGCCTTGTGTTTGAATAGCCTGGCTGGTGAGGATGATTTGCAGGATTGGAGAGGGACAACATGGATCTTTAGATCTATTGTCACTGCCTGTCGTGTCCTTCATCAAAGCCGCTCTTTTACTTCGAGAAGTTTCCGAGGGGATGGGTTGGGATTTTGGTGTTTAGGAAGAAGGTGCTTGTGGATTGTTTATTTTGCTCCAAATTTCTGAAACCAGAAAAAAAAAAAAAAAAAAAAAAAAAAAAAAAAAAAGGTTATCGGGTAGACCCTGGAACCGGACCGGAAAAACAGGGTAGGTTCCAAAACAAGGTCTAGGGAAAACAGGGTAGGTTCCAGGTTCCAAAAACTGGGAACCGGTTGTAACAGGGTAGGTTCAGGTTCCAGGTCTGGACCCTACCCACCCTGGAACCGATCACCCCTACCACGAGGCACGAGGGCATGGACAAATAGTGGCTCCCGGCAGACTTTTAGGATGGTGAAGGAGGCAGAAATGAACCGAATTGTATATCGAATATGGAGATAGCGATATTGAGATATATATGTGAAAACCGAAATTAACTCATGGAAGCACCTTTTGACGTAACGATAACACTTAGCTTTGTAACTCCAAAGTTAAATATGCTCAAGTGAAGCACTATCAGGATGGGTGACCTATTGGAAAAGTGTCCACCTTTACGCCTAAGTACAAAATTGTGAAGCTCAGTATAGGATGCGATAAAGTGGACAATACCTTAGCTGAATTAAATCTAGGGCGTCACCAAGATACAAAAGCATGCAAAATAAAAGAATCACACTTAAGTGCCAAAAAAGATCAAGGCTGGTTATTTAGTGAAATTTGAATAGTAGTAGGGCTAAAAAGATTCGATGAGAAATGAATTTATTAGAGAAACAAATAGGTCCAATTTTAATCGGAGGATAATATGAAAAAGTTTCATTAGTGATGATGAGGGGTTCTAAAAGAGTTGGCACTGATCCCACAAAATTTAAGCTGGAAGTCCTGAGTTCAAATCTTTACAGGCCTCATTGCTGGGCAAAAAGACCAGATCAAGTGTGAGGAGGAATGTTAGAATAATTAAATATTAAATCACGCCTTCATCTAACATTTTAAGTTTTTAGAACAATTAGCAGTGGTCTCACAATATCTTATAATAAGGACTTGAAACAAACAAATTAAAATGGGTTAATGCCACGAAAAATCCTAAACAGGCACCCCTGTTATAAATTTACCCCAAACTATTTTTTGATCACGTAAAACTCCAAATCGGTACACATGTGACAAATTTACAAAGTCAAATGTGATACCACAACTATGTCATAAAAACTGTCCATTGAAACATACAATTTGCCATATTGCACACAAAAAATACGAATATTTTGCAAATACAAGTCTCCAAACCATATCGATCGCATTAACCAACGTAATAGTACAACGTAATTTAAGCTTCTACTCGGATACAGTACAAATTTTTTTTAAGCATGACACCCGCAGAACATAGTGCAATTCGATTCAGTTTTAAGTGTGAACGGCGGTCGGCTTGAAGTCGACCACAAGGACCTTCTCCAACCGGGGGAGGAACCGTTTCGATGCAACCTTAAAATTTAATTTGTGGACAATGTGACCCTGATATAGATTTTATCTCGACTTTTAAGGATAAAGAACTAGCCTTCTCCTGTAAGTGTTCAGATACTCAGCTAGTTATTGTGTTTAGTGGGATGTAAAATGTGCCAGGGTAAGCAATTGCGCACGATATGCCAAATTTTTTCACGCTCTTTTGATTGTAAGGTAAAGCTGGATAGATTTAATGTGCTTACGTAAGTCGTGCATGATTATATTACAAAAAAAGGTATGGGTTAAGTTTAAAAACTTGACCTGGTTACCTTTCTTTGATTAACAATTTTCTATGAGATATGATCTTTGTTTTGATCACGTTTCTATTGGATTCATATTACAAAAGGGTGCGGTCCTTTCATTTGGATTTTATGAGATGAAGCTCTTTCTGATAATGAAATTCTAGGTTTGACAAGGTTGGGGGCTAATCTTGTACTCTTATCTACTCATTAGTTCAACTCTGCTATTGGATTCAATCTTGCTTCCTTTACTTCATGGCCTGATAATCTTTCTGAGATTCTGCTCAAAGAATTCTTTTCTGCTGTGCAGCATGTTGAAGTGGTACCTCAAATGGAAAAACAGCAGCGTCTGGAGCAGATCCTTCGTTCCCAAGAACGGGGTTCTAAGGTAATTGTTTTTTGTTCTACGAAGAGGTTGTGTGATCAGCTTGCGCGCAGCATTGGACGTAATTTTGGAGCTGTTGCTATCCATGGAGACAAGTCTCAAGGCGAGAGAGACTGGGCTCTAAATCAGTTTCGGAGTGGAAAGAGCCCTATATTAGTTGCCACTGATGTTGCTGCCCGGGGCCTTGACATAAAAGATATCAGGTTACTTCTTTGTTTACCTTTCTGAACTAGTAAGCAACAAGGTCTGTTTGAAGTACTCGTATCCCTGAATTTGCATTTGTTGGTGTCTCAGGGTAGTGATCAATTACGATTTCCCTACCGGGATTGAGGATTATGTCCACCGAATAGGGAGAACTGGGAGGGCTGGTGCAACTGGAGTGTCGTATACTTTCTTCTCTGAGCAGGACTGGAAATATGCAGCTGATTTGATAAAAGTCCTAGAGGGGGCAGACCAGCAAGTTCCCCCTGAGGTGAGAGAGGTGGCTTCTCGGGGTGGGTCTGGTTTTGGCAAAGATCGTGGAAGGGGCAGCCGTTTTGATTCTGGTGGTGGTGGACGTTGGGATTCAGGAGGTCGTGGTGCGATGAGTGGTGGTGATTTTGGTGGCCACGGTGGTATGGGTGGTGGCAACTTTGGTGGCCGTGGTGGTATGAGGGACGGGAACTTTGGTGGTCGGGGTGGAATAAGAGATGGTGGGTTTGGGGGACGTGGAGGAGGCCGGGATGGCTTCGGAAACCGTGGTGGAAGAGGCGAATTCTTTCCCAGGCGTGGAAGAGGACCCCGAGGATTTGGTGGACCGCCAGGCAGTGGTCAGGTTGGTTGGGATAGGAATGACCGTGGCCTAAATGATCGGTTTGATATGGAGGGACGTGGTGGCTATGCACGTGGGCGTGGACGGGGGCGGTTTGGTAATAGAAGAGACCTTCCAGATATGGGTAGAGGTAGAAGTTACAGTCGTAGCCCAGATATGGTTCGAACGTGGGGCAGCCGGAGCCGCAGCAGAAGCCGCAGCAGAAGCCAGAGCCGCGGTCGCAGTAGGAGCTGGAGCAGGAGCAGGAGTCGCAGCCGAAGCCGGAGTTGGTCGAGGGGCCGGAGCCGTAGCTATAGCCAGAGCCCTAGCCGGAGCAGGAGCCGGAGTCGCAGCCGCAGCTATGAAAGAAACAGGAGGCCTCGTGTTTCCAAATTTGATCAGAAAGAACCGGATGCTTCAGGCCTCGGTGCCCCTCCTGTGTCGGAAACTTCACTTGCACCTCCGGTTATGCCACCGGATACATTTTCAGGCGTTGAGCCGGCTGGGGATCTGCCTTTGGTTGCTGAGACAATGAATGTGCCTCCTGTGACTGAGGCAGAGCCTTCAGTGGCAGAGCCATGAATTTTGATTTTGGCGTTTTCTGGTAGCCATTCATCTTCTTTCAGGTCATTGGTTCCAAATTTTGCTTTTACGCGATGCAGCTTAGTGAAGGATTGGCCAATACATGAATACCTGAAGTCGCTGTCGTGCATGGGGATGAATTTAATAGCTGGATGTCAAGTATTGCGTGGGATGTTGTGGGTGTAGGTCATTGTAGTAGTGCACTGAGTAACTTATCAGCTGTGATAGAGCTCGGAATCAAGGAGGGGTTTCTTCCTTTTGCCGGATTCAAGGGGTGCCCGTGCCGAAGTGGGACTTTAGGTAATAGTTGGTCTGATACTTGGTGGTGGGATTTTTGTATTCAGGATTCAGGAAGCAGCTAGCTATTGCATTCTCTGTTTCATAACACTGCGAATTCAATTGTTTCTGCTAAATTATTGATCCTGCCGAGCGGGGGCCAGGCTTTGGTTCTTCGTTAAACTTCAATCATTAGTTTGAAATGGTACAATAATCTGATTAGTAAGCACAGAGAATTAAATAACTGGGGACCGGACTAAGATAAACATGGTAAGGCATTATAGCAGAGAGACCAGCTGCGAAGAATCTAAATTTTCCGAAATGAACCTACGTGGGGAAATGGCGCCACATCCATAGACAATCTCCGATCACCGGAATAAGAGCAACGGACACTCAGTAGCCAGTATAGTTACATCGGATGCCCGGTTTTACCATGAACTCAACATGTAAGATTAGCATTTTGATCGCATTCCACTCTTAAAAGAAGCCATGGCGCACTTTTCGGTTAGGGCTCTTATTATCAAGTTGAGCCGAGCACTCGACTAATCCTAGTGTGGTCACATGAGTGCTCCCATCCAAAGTAACCACGTGTATCACTCACCAAGAGGAAACGTCTCTCAACCTTTCGGTAGGAGAAGAATTCAATTTAATTTGTTTTGAATTTTGGAGTTTATTTAAATGCCTGCTAGCCATGGAAAACTCTATTTGCTCTATATAAAGGCTCTTGCACATCGTCTCCTTAACAATCAGAGGGAGAACAAGTATAGCATCATAGAGAGAGAGGAAAAAAATGGGTTCTGCTCACATCATATCCTCCTTTCTTTCTTGCTTCATGCTCGTGCTTTTATCCATCAATTTCTCATCATCTGCAATTCTAGAAATGAAGGACTCGGACAGAATGGTCAAGGAAATTTGTTCTAAGACCCAAGACCGTGTCTTTTGCATGCAGATTCTAGCATATGACCCGCCAACAAAGGGCGCAGCTCTCCTCAGGAGCCTTGCGCTGTTCTCTCTGGACCTAGCTCAAGCCAGTGCAAGCGAGACGCAGATCGCAATCCACGCGAGGATCAACGACACCGGCGACCCGCAGCTGAGGGAGGCGTTTGCCGCGTGTTTGGCCGCTTACGGCACGGCCGTCTCCGCTCTGAGGGACGCGGACAAGTTCGTCGCTTCGGGGGATTATGTTAACCTGAGAACTCAAGCTTCAGGTGCTGCGGCTCAAGTCAAGCGGTGCCGAACTGCCTTGGAGTTCAAAGAAGAAGCAGGTCGAGCTTCAATCGGTGTCAAGAACAATGACTTGAAGCGTACTTGCAGCATCATCTTAGCTATTTCAAATCGTTTGCTTGCTCTGAATTAGTTCTCAACAAGAGTTGTATCAATGCTGGGCCAAGTCCTAGGGCCATGAATAACATCTAAAAATCTAAATATTTCTCTACAAGACACGATTCATTAAACGGAATTATAACCCAGTAAAAAAATTATTGCACGAACCAAATCCAAACCAAATCTACAGTAGTCAAAATTATTATTTGGCCAGAGTTTTGTTTGAATGATCTATATTCTGTGTTGAGAGACCCATGTTAAATATACATTAATGGATAGTAATTAGGATTATGAAGAGGTAATCTTGCCTGCATGCTATAATAAATGTCCTTTTGATAAGTAGCATCTTGAGGGAAGCAGCGAAAGCATGTTTTAGTAAAAGAAATTTGATAACAAGTGCTTTGAGACACTTGTTAGGTAACTAATTAAGAAAACTTTACTGATTTTGTTTTCCCACTGCCTCGATCTGTTCTATCCAGAATTGAATTGATTCTTAGGCAATTTTTATGGAAAGGCCCGGATCTGGGGCCAGGGGGCGCGAAAGTGTCCTGGAATGTAGTCTGCGTTCCTAAGGATGAGGGAGGACTGGGAATTTGTAGACTCCTTGAATGCAATCGGGTAGCCCTACTCAAGCACATATGGATTCTCTTCACTGATAAAGAATCTTTGTGGTGTAAATGGATTCACTCCAATTTCTTGAAGAACAAGAATTTCTGGATTGCGCCCAAACCAACGGTATGTTCTTGGGCTTGGAAAAAAATTTTAGACCTCCGTCATGAATTCCAACTTCATTTCTGTTGGCACATTGGTAACGGAGTTATCACCTCCTTTTGGTTTGATAATTGGCACCCTAGGGGTCCTCTTTACAAATTATTCACAGACAGGTATATTTACAACTCCGGGATTCCGCGAAGCTCTACGTTAGTGATTTTTTCTCATCCGATTGGCCCCGGTCTTCGGTCCTAGACACACTTCGCTCCCGGGCGCCACCGGTTCTCTTCAACCGGGAGTTAGCGATAGTATCTCTTGGCAGGGACATCCCTCCGGCGACTTTTCTTCTGCCAAGGCGTGGGAATCCATAAGGATCAAGGGCCAGAAAGTTAAATGGAGTTCATTCATCTGGGATCCTTCCATCGCCCCCAGATACGGGTTTCTGTTATGGATCACTACTCTGAATAGGCTTCCTACGCAGGAATATTTATTGAGGCACCATAGGATCGACGAAAGGTCCTGTGCTTTTTGCCGCTACAGACCGGATTCCACCGATCACCTCTTTTTCGGCTGTAATATCACGAGCTCCCTTGCTAGCTTTTGGGCTTCCAAATGCAATCTTTCCTGGCGCAATAAACCGTGGCTTAACAACCTCCGATGGGCTATACGGGTCATTGGTGGCCATAGCTTCCACCAACGCATTGCTCGCTTCTCCCTAAGCGCCTTATGCCACATTATTTGGACGGTAAGAAATGATATCCTTTTTAGGAGCAAACCACTTTTTATACCGGCCATCCGCAACCATCTTATTAAGGTGACGAGAGATAGAGGTTTATCCTTTAAACCCGTCGAAGATAGTCCCCGCAACCAAAGAGTTCAAGCAAACTGGGGTATCTCTGCCTCTATTTTTGATTCCTAGTATTTGCTTAGCAGTTGTATAGCTGGCTTTCGCCGGAGTGTTCGGCCTCCTTGTTCCGCCCTCGCGGCTTTTTTCTTTTCTCAATCGTACACCTTGTACCGTGAGAACACCATCCTTGTTCCCTAGGGTACGAGGTTTTGAGTACGACGTCCTTTCTTTGTACTTGGTGCGTTAAAAGTATAAATACATCTTACTTTACCAAAAAAAAAAAAACTTTACTGATTTCATTTACTGATTTATATGCGTAATCGTTACTTTGGAAACTGATTAGTGCCTCGAGGGCTCATAAGAAAGAAAGAACTTGCTAATGAGTGCCCTCAAGGAACTTGGTTAACAAGCAATTAAGAAAAGCTTACAGTTTACGGTATGTCATTTTGCTTTTTTCGTGATTTGTATAATCACTGGTGAAAATTGCAGCATTCCTCATTCAGCATGCTTAACAAATTACTTCAGAATACTCGCTAAGAAAAAAGAAAAAGAATTCAAAAAATGGAAAATCACATCATGCGATTGTTTAAACGTAATCCTTTTAATAGCCTTTAAAGTTAAAGGCAACTTGAGTGGGGCTAATGATTCGTATTGGCGTGTGATTGATCTTGTCTGTAATTTGTGTTAATTCATATCAATCTAAAACATCTTAATTTCGATTTCAGATGCTAAATAATTGACATGCTACGAAAGCATATTAATTCATGTCAATCTGCATTAACATCTAAGCGTATCGTATTGAGTTGTATTCCGATTTTCACTCAATATTTCATTTTCTATCGTATTCGTGTCATGTAAACGGATCGTATCTACCGGGCCCTAAGAATCTGTCCCTTTTGACTGATAACGTTGGACAATCAGTTACAGATTTACATTATTTTAAACTTCACAAGCATCTTGTTTCGAGCTGCGGTTACACAGCTCTTTACGTAAGAGTCGAGACTTACCAACACTTCTTATTTTCTTGATCATAATGGCAATTTCTGGGTGCGATTGAATCAGGACTTTGTAGGCAGTCCTAATTGGACAAAAAGAGGGTCACATTACCGAAGGTCTCTGATGTACTTGTCTGCTCCGGTCTCGGCTCACTTGCCTCCCGCTTTAGACCGGACAGAGGAAGAGCGTGTCGACAATGCCGCCCTTAGATCGGTTGAATATCAAGCGGGCCTCGTCCGGTACCCCCAATCGACAAACCGTCGTAACTTCGACGTAGGGGACAGTGGTGCTCCGGAACCCGGCGCAGCACCGTCAGCAAAGGAGGGGCCTGCAAACTTGTAGACGGAGAAGGCCATGAATGATGTTCCTCTTGGTTGGAATGCTGATCACCTTGTATGATTCTATCAATAGTTGAATGTGGAAAGAAATGACATGTTTATATAGCTTATGATCCCTTGGGAATTTTCAATCTTTATCGAAGGCTCTGTTTTTTTCGCTGAAATTGAATGATTGGAAAATATTTTCCTAATAATGAATAAACGAAAATGTATAGACATAAATTGCTTATATCGCTTACAAAAATGAATAAACGAAAAATATTTTCATTGTGCATGAAAATGTATAGACATAAATTGTTGTCGATAATGCAAACGTTTTCCATTCACTAATTATGTTGTCATTTTATGGAAAATGTTTTCCAAATTTTTCAGTTTTTTCGCAAAGTAAATAGAGCCGTACTTATATCGGAAAAATTACCAAAAAAGTCCTGAACCTATTGCATTTGTGCTAATTCAGTTCTAAACCTTTCAATTTGATCAATTTAGTCATGAACTTTTTGACAATTTACCAATGTAGCCCTTTTGGCCAATTTTGGCTGGAAATCGCTGACGCGGACGCCAGCAGTGCCATGTGGGACGGCCGGTACTAACGTGGACAATATTTATAAGATCCCTTAAGTAATTTACCAGCATGAAAAAAGATCCCTTTTTTGGCCAACGAATAGTAGAAAAGTTTCCCGGGATTAGTTCTCAACTGGACTTGTATCGGTGGTTGGCCAAAAATAAACCTAGACTTGTATCAGATTCGGCTTGAAGTATTGAAGTTTTGTTGGAAGATCCATATTAAATGAAGCATGTGTGCTATTATAAGTGTCATTTTAACTAAGGATCAATGCCCGTCCTTCGCGGATCAGAAATCAGATTGTTCCTCTTGCACCAGCTGTTACCATAATCAGATCGTTGACTCTAATCATGGGTCACCCACTCCCGCCCGGCTCTAGGACGGGTCATGTATTTTGAGATTGCATGAGACTTATCTACCGGCGTAGCATCCCATACATAGACGACGTCAGATTCAAGACATAAACGACAATTGACCCCAATGAAAGGCTTTTCCTGTCATAGTGATTCTTCTATCAAACCTTCTGCTTTTTGCCGCATATTATTGTCTGTTCTTACAAAATTCAGTAAGATTTGCCAGTGATCTAACCAAAGGCATAAACATTACTAAAAACTCCATGACAACCTAAAGAAAAACTGCAATGAATGGACAGACCAGGTTTGTCCTCATAAAATCTGAATTTAGATAAAGCATATTCCACACGGCGATACAGCATTATATTTTGCCTTGTAATTTGCAAACCGAGTCTCTCAAGTTTGAACCATATCAATCACCTTGCCCAACATAATGGCACATTCCAACTTCAGTTCTGTCATACATAACAAAATTATTATTCGATCGCAATGCTAGCAGAGCTTGCAATGCGATGTCAACTCAGGTACGGACAATGGTCGGCTTGTAGTCGATCACGGCTACTTTCTCCAGACAGGGAAGGAACAGGTTCGCGGGTCGACGTGGGCAGGATGACCAATGTACTCTGCTATTCCCTCGGTGCTCTCAAACGTTGACTCAAAGACGTGCGTGAAGCCTTGGTGCAAGTTCTCGATGCTCACATCCTTTCCCCTAATTTCACATGAGAAATGATGACCCGAAATCAGGCATCTGAACAAGCTCTTAAGGAACATTCCATGACAGATCGCCAAGACATAAATATGAGAACTCTAGCGCACCCAACTTCTATTGATCAAAAATCTTGAATCACTACGGCATAAAGAGAATAGCCAATGTCCTTTCACTACTAGTTGAATGTTGTGAATCTAGCCCGACAGAAAGGCTTCTTCGATTGAAGGTGTTTCTACTGCATTCTAATTTGGTTGCAAGAATCAAATGTAAGCTCAGAACAAACTCTGATCCAGAGATAAGAGGATGAATACTCCAAAATGCTTTGGATCCTCACTATTGAAGGATAGATCTATCGAGATCACGACAATGTAATCTACTAAACTCCGAGTCCTACAGCTTAAAAACCCGTGTTCTCTTATTACCGGTCAATCTTCGCTAATCTATTTCTCCAAAGAACCTCTGTATCAAAGAGTTCTTTTCACTTTTCAGGGTCCTATTTCAGTTGGAAGATTGAATTGGAAGCTCAGAACAACTCCAATCCAGAGAAGGACAATGGACACTCCAATATGCGGATGCAATGAAGTAACCAAACAAAGAACAATCTTTGAAGACAAATTCTCTAGGATTTAAAACACCAATGTCAGGCAACATTACACCGATTTCTCTTCTGATAAACTCAATCTCAGCAAACCCAATTATCCATTAATCAGACCGAAAAAGCCAACCACAACCCACTTGCCCTCTTTGATTTGACGTCAACAACAACAGAAACAGCAACAACAAACAAAATTTCAACTCCACGATGAGGTTTCAAATATCTATAACGTGCACCTAAAGAAAATTTCCAAGATCGCAGAAAAACCAATTACAAAAACTGGGTTCAAACAAGCATCAAAAGGAGGGAGAACAACGGGAAAAAGCCCAAAAAAAACAATAGAGAGACAAAAAGAGACACAGAGATCAGACAGATAGAGAAGAATACCAGTGGAAAGATTTCATGGGTTCGATGAGGTTGACGAGATTGGCGTAACCCTTGATGAGTTGCTCGATTTGGTCAGGTGGGGTCTCGTCCTTGAACTTGGCGAGCAGCACATGCTTCACCAACCCCTTCGCTTCCTCCATTGTTTTCAGCTTCCTAACTTCGGAGTTCAAAATTACTTGTCCCCGCTACAGCATCCCTTCATTTATAGTTGTTTGGAGAAATTACACAAACTTCACCCAAGTTTTGGGTATTATACTTTTACCCAAAAAATTTTCGATTTGTTACACAGTACCCCCTTGGATTTGTTGATCCCCCTAACCCCCATGATATTTTCTTTTAGCATAAACAAAAATGTATTTTTTATTTCATTGTTTTTTTTTTTTAAGAAAGGCTCTCTTTTACCCTCCTTATAATCGTAAAGGTGAGTTCATATGACTGAATTTTTTGAGTCGTTTGAGAGTTCTATTTTAATCCGGTTCATACCAATTCAAAAGTTTATCACATTAAAGAAGTTTTAACATGCAGGTCCATTGCTAGCATGACAGTGTCGGCTCTGATCGCGGCTCATCCACACCCACGTGGCTTTAAGACGGGTCATGTACTTTGAGGTCGTCCGAAACTTATCTACTGGCATACAAGCCTCATATAGACGATATGAAATCCAAGACAGATAAGAGAATTGACGCCTAATGAAAAAGGCTTTACCATTACAACAAGTTGTTACAATAGATGTCCTATTCTTCTCTCGAATGTTATGCCTTTTTTCGGGGATGGTAATGTCTATTTACACAGATGTGGTAAGATTTACGAGTGATCTGACCGAAGGCATGAACATTACTAAGAACTCCATGTCAACCTAAAGAAAAATCAAGAGACACAAAACCCCAATGAATGGACAGACCAGGGCTGCCTTCATGAATCTGTATTTAGATGCTGCACTATTCCTGACTTGTAATTTGCAAAGACAAGTCTCTCGAGTCTGAACCATATCCTTACCCAAGTTAACGGCAGACTCGAACTTCAGTTCTGTCATACATAACAGACTTATTGTTTGAACACGACACCGGCGGAGCTTGCGATGCGATGTCAATTCAGGCACGGAAAGGAGTCGGCTCGTAGTCGATCACGATGAATTTATCCAGATAGGGACGGTACTGGTTCGAGAATTCAGCATGAACAGGATCATCCATGAACTCTGCTAATCCCTCGGCGCTGTCAACGTTAAGTCGAAGACGTGCGTGAAGCCTTCGTCCAAATTCTTGATGACCAAGTTCGTTCCCCTAGTTTCACAAGAGAGATGACAACCCAAGATCAGGCATCTCAGCAAACTGCTAAGGAACATTCCATGACAGATCACCAAGACATTTATATGATCACAAAGGAAAGGGGGTAAAAACAACACAGAGATTAGACAGACAGAAGAATTACATGTGCCAAGATTTCAAGGGTTCGATGTGGTTGACGCGATTGGGGTAGTTCTTGATGATTTGGTTGATCAGGGCAGGTGGGGTTCAGTCTTTGAACTTGGCAAGGAACACATGCCTCGCCATTCCCTTCCCTTCTGCCATTGTCCGCCTTTTCTTCTTCGGAGTTCAAAATTCCTGGGAAAAATTGTCTAAAAAGTCCGAAACATATTGCACTTTTACTAATTCAGTCCTAAACCTTTTTACTTCTTGTCAATTGAGTCTATTGGGTCAATTTTGGCCGGTCAGCGCTGACGTGGCTGCCCGCCGTCCAGCCAACGCTGACGTGGCAATTTTGAAATATTTTTTTGAATTTTTTAATATTTCTTTCTTTCGATGCCTTCTTCCCTCCGGCCGGTCCGGCGACCGGCTAGAGGCATGGGCCGGCGAGGTCGACCTCGCCGGCCTCTAGTGAAGCTCGCCCCTACCGACCACTAGCAAGGGCGAGCCTCGCCCACCGCTACTAAGCCGACCTCGCCCAGCCAAGGTGAGGCCGACCTCACCATCACTGGGCGAACCCAGTGCATGGTGAGGTCGGCCTCACCATGGCTAGGGGAGGTCGAGCCTCGCCCAACCAAGGCGAGGCCGACTTGCGACGGCGCTAGCCGGCCTCACTGTCGCTGGGCGAGGTGAAATTCAGCGACGGTGAGGTCGGCCTCGCCATGGATGGTTGAGGCTCGACCTCACCCAGCCAAGGTGAGGCCGACTTGCGACGGCGCTAGCCAGCCTCGCCTTGGTTGGGCGAGGCTCGACCTCGTCCAGATCTGGCAAGGACGAGCCTCGACCAGCCATGGCAAGGCCGACCTCGCGGTCACTAGGTTTCACCTCGCCGTCGTCCTCGCCATGGCTAGGTGAGGCCAACCTCACCGTTGCTGGGTTCCACCTCACCCAACAACGGCAAGGTCGGCCTCTATCTTACCCAAGCAGTGGCAAGCGAGGCTCGCCCTCACCGGTGGCTGCAGGAGCGAGCTTCACTAGAGGTCAACCTCACCAGCCTACGCCTCTGGCCATTCGCCGGACCGGCCAGAGGGAAGAAGGGCAGAAAAATATATTAAAAAATTCAAAAAAAATATTTAAAAATTGCCACGTTAGCACATCACCGCCAGCCAACCAAAATTGATCGGATGGACTCAATTGGCAAAAAATGAAAAGGTTTAGAACTGAATTGGCAAACTTAAAAGGTTTAGAACTAAATTAACAAAAGTATAATAGATTTAGGACTTTTTGGACAATTTTTCCTTTCTAGCATTTAAAGCAGATCAGCTCAAGGTAAGCACTTCATTTCAATCATCTGAGACTACGCTCCCATAGGCTTGGTTTTCCCCTTTTAGCTTAAATTACTCTATATATCTTTTCAACGGTTAAAGCGGATTAGTCAAGCTAAGTACGCTAGGTTTTCCCCTTTCAATTATCTGAGAATATGCTCCCATACGCTAGATTTCTGTTCATTTTACTTATAAACATATTTCACTGGTGACGCGAATCTATGTAACGTAGCTTTATGACTTAATCTTTGACAAGTTTTGAGAAAAACACTAATTCAGCTTGCATGTCAGTTGAAAATTGTGACGACCCAGTTCAACAAGAGCATGGAGTGATCGCCGAGAGGTAGGGGTGTGCAACCGGACCGGGTTTACCCGGGAACCGGACCGGCCCACCCGAAAAACAGGTCCGGGAACCGGTTCCTGTTTGAACCGGTCCGGGAAACGGTTCTATTTTTTCGGAACCGATTAGAACCGGTCCGGTTCCCGGGTCTAAGTGAAAACCCACCCGGACCGGTTTTAGAACCGGTTTTAAGTTACTGTAAAAAAACCCTAGCATTTGTTACTCTCAGTCGCTCCCTCCTCTTCCAGTTTACGAGTCCCCTTTCTTCTGGCCCTTCTCAGTCTGCTCGCGAGAACTCGTCGCTGCCACTGCTCGCCGCGGCTGCTCGTCGCTACAACCCAGCTCGTCGCGGCTGCTCGCCGCATCTCGTCGCCGCGGCTGCTCGCCGCAACCCAACTCATCGCCACAGCTGCTCGCTGCCTGAGTCGCCGTAACGCCGCTCGTTGCCGCTCGTCGCCGGAACCCAGCTTGTCGCCCCTCGTCGCCGCCTCAGTCGCCGCAACCCGACTCGTCGCCGCTCGTCGCTGCGGCTGCTCGCCACCTCAATCGCCGCAACCCAGCTCGTCCAACCCTTACGCCGCCGCGAAGGTCAGCTCACGGTTCCCCCCTCGATCCCGCTCCCACTACTACTGTTGTTTTTAGAGCGCGCGATTTCTGTGTGACAGCGAATCGATGTGGAAAAAAGAGACGAGAACGATCGAATCGCTTGTGACGAGGAAGTGTCGTGAAAGAACTCGAAAAGGGAAGGGAATTGAACGTTCTGTGCACGTCGCATATTGTATTTCGATACTCTCCCCTTGCCTAAGTCCGAGTTTCAGTGACCCCAGACCTTGGATTATTTGCCGCCACTTGAAATCTTGTGCTCTGGTTCTGTTCTCGGAGTGAATCGGCAACGGTGGCTGATGTTCCCATCTTTCCCTTTGCCAAAAAAAGCAGTTGAGTTGACCTTAGACCATGCCCCTTCTTTGATTAACCAGGCCTTGTGTTTGAATAGCCTGGCTGGTGAGGATGATTTGCAGGATTGGAGAGGGACAACATGGATCTTTAGATCTATTGTCACTGCCTGTCGTGTCCTTCATCAAAGCCGCTCTTTTACTTCGAGAAGTTTCCGAGGGGATGGGTTGGGATTTTGGTGTTTAGGAAGAAGGTGCTTGTGGATTGTTTATTTTGCTCCAAATTTCTGAAACCAGAAAAAAAAAAAAAAAAAAAAAAAAAAAGGTTATCGGGTAGACCCTGGAACCGGACCGGAAAAACAGGGTAGGTTCCAAAACAAGGTCTAGGGAAAACAGGGTAGGTTCCAGGTTCCAAAAACTGGGAACCGGTTGTAACAGGGTAGGTTCAGGTTCCAGGTCTGGACCCTACCCACCCTGGAACCGATCACCCCTACCACGAGGCACGAGGGCATGGACAAATAGTGGCTCCCGGCAGACTTTTAGGATGGTGAAGGAGGCAGAAATGAACCGAATTGTATATCGAATATGGAGATAGCGATATTGAGATATATATGTGAAAACCGAAATTAACTCATGGAAGCACCTTTTGACGTAACGATAACACTTAGCTTTGTAACTCCAAAGTTAAATATGCTCAAGTGAAGCACTATCAGGATGGGTGACCTATTGGAAAAGTGTCCACCTTTACGCCTAAGTACAAAATTGTGAAGCTCAGTATAGGATGCGATAAAGTGGACAATACCTTAGCTGAATTAAATCTAGGGCGTCACCAAGATACAAAAGCATGCAAAATAAAAGAATCACACTTAAGTGCCAAAAAAGATCAAGGCTGGTTATTTAGTGAAATTTGAATAGTAGTAGGGCTAAAAAGATTCGATGAGAAATGAATTTATTAGAGAAACAAATAGGTCCAATTTTAATCGGAGGATAATATGAAAAAGTTTCATTAGTGATGATGAGGGGTTCTAAAAGAGTTGGCACTGATCCCACAAAATTTAAGCTGGAAGTCCTGAGTTCAAATCTTTACAGGCCTCATTGCTGGGCAAAAAGACCAGATCAAGTGTGAGGAGGAATGTTAGAATAATTAAATATTAAATCACGCCTTCATCTAACATTTTAAGTTTTTAGAACAATTAGCAGTGGTCTCACAATATCTTATAATAAGGACTTGAAACAAACAAATTAAAATGGGTTAATGCCACGAAAAATCCTAAACAGGCACCCCTGTTATAAATTTACCCCAAACTATTTTTTGATCACGTAAAACTCCAAATCGGTACACATGTGACAAATTTACAAAGTCAAATGTGATACCACAACTATGTCATAAAAACTGTCCATTGAAACATACAATTTGCCATATTGCACACAAAAAATACGAATATTTTGCAAATACAAGTCTCCAAACCATATCGATCGCATTAACCAACGTAATAGTACAACGTAATTTAAGCTTCTACTCGGATACAGTACAAATTTTTTTTAAGCATGACACCCGCAGAACATAGTGCAATTCGATTCAGTTTTAAGTGTGAACGGCGGTCGGCTTGAAGTCGACCACAAGGACCTTCTCCAACCGGGGGAGGAACCGTTTCGAGAACTCGACATGGGCCGGATGAGGTAAGTACTCTGCTATTCCCTCCGTGCTCTCAAACGTTGTCTCGAACACATGGGTGAAGCCTTGATGGGCGTTCTCGATGCTCACATCCCTTCCCCTGTAACATTCAACACCAGAAATGATAACACAACCTCTTTTAGATCAGCAAGAGAGAGAGAGAGAGAGAGAGAGAGAGAGACCAGTGGAAAGATTTCATGGGGTGGATGAGATTGACGAGATTGGCGAAGCCCTTGATGAGTTCTTCAATCTGGTCAGGCGTGGTGTCGTGTTTGAACCGCACCAGCAACACATGCTTCACAAGACCTTTGGCTTCCTCCATTTCTCAGTTTTTTTCTGGGTACTTCGGTTGTCCTTCGGCGGTCCCTTACTTATAGTTTTGCTGAGTTGCGCATACTTTTCACCACTCCCATGTCTGCACGACTCTTTCCTTTGAAACTTTCTAAATGAACTTCTTGAACAACAGAAAAACAGATGGCGATGAGTCCTTCCTGTCTCGCGTCGCTCCGCATCTCCGTCGTCACGGGTGATTCAATTGTTATTTCATCACGTGATGCCATTTTAGAAGGATGGTGTCGTACGTTTCAATTCGTCGGTGGTGATCAATTGGCATTCAAATTGCTTCTTAGATATTTTTCTATAAACAGTGTTTGGTTTGAACTGAAACGATGCAAAGCCACTTGTCGCATCCAAGAAACTAATAATTATGGACAGAGAGAGGAAAAAATTTAGAAACCCACGAACTCGAGAGAGCGAGATATAACATTTAACATGAATTTTTCATGTCGTAGAATATATAGGAATGTCAAATTGCTATGGATTGTGCCGGCTCGAATTGACGTGTCTGGCTGTGGTAGGCCGGCTTGACGCATCACATCGACCCTCCACGGCATGACATGAGGCATATGCCAGGCCGGGCCGATTTTATTTTTCAAATTTATTTTAGCCTAAAGGGCTACTGATCACTCTCCCTTAGCCACTCCAAAAATTAAAAAAAATTCTATGCATTGTCCCACCATTCCACTCGACCCTCACAATTTCTTCACTTGGCTCTCAATCTCAAATCTCCTGTAATTTCCGTCTTGCTCTCATCTCAATCTCGTTCTCATTCTGTTAGTATATTCGCCTCTTTTTTTATATAATAATTGCCCATTTACTTGCAATTGTACACAATCGATTCTCAAGGCTGAAGTAGACTAAAAAAATTGGTGCCAGACAATATTAGTTGTCCATCATACTTGCAGCCTTAAAAGTTTCATGTTGCACACGGTTAAAATCGCTTTATGGAAATACAAAAACGTACAGCCAGCATGATAAGAATGCTGCTAGGTATGTCCTCTCGCGAAGTTCTTCATCACCTCCTAACTCCAGGAATGGTTGTTCTTCGTGAGTCCTAGGCTACGGGTCATTCAATTTGCTGGTAGGATTGTGTTGTTAGTGGTCTGCCCTAGGAATCAATCAAGGTTGATATTCTAATATTAGTTGTGGATTAGGTTGTGTCGGAAAATCGACCTTCACTATACTTAGGTAGTCATAATGTCTTGCTAGAGACCGCTTATGACTTGTGGGCCAAAAAAAAGTTTTGAGCACACTGCTAATGTTTAGTGAACCTACAGGGTCGCACATAATAGCGAACGGACTTAATATTTTCTGTGCACCTTGATCTACTTAAGAAGTAGATTTTAATTTATTCTCTTATTTAAATTATCTATGCGGTCGTGCGCATTATGAGATAACGATTAAACGTACGATTAAAGGTGGACGGTTTGGCGGGCCCAAATCGCCCGGCCCACTTCTTTTAATTCCGCTGGATAATGAAGCTGTATAAATAGATAGAGAATCGTTCTCTGTCTAGGGTTTTTTCGACAGAGTATCGAAAATCAAAAGGCGTTCAAGAAAAAAGGAACTTCAAGATCTTTCGCTAGCACGTGGATCGTTGGAGAATTCCGTTTGTGTGTGTGGATACCCGTAGAGGCGCAACACTTGGGGAGCTAATCCAGACACAATCGGTTGCCGATTTATCTTCGATCTACAAAAGGTACGTTTCGAAATTCCTTTTCGATTTCAATAAATACATGGATCCTTTTGCTCTCCCCTAAACCAAAATCCAGTCCACTTTTCGAGCTTCAACTTGTGGATTCCCTCTTTCGTCTTGCGAAGAATGATGATAAGCTGCAAACAGGTACTCGCAGCATCTTGAAAGAGGCCTATCATCCCAACTCGGTTCCTTGAAGCTTGGAATGACTTTCTCGGTAATGGTCGCCATATATAGAAAGCATGTGTTCATCTGTGTTTGCCATTGGACACCAGGCTTCACGAAAAGCTCAACAATGTCACTGTTGCAATCATGTGTATACCAAGAATGGTCGACAGGATAGTTGAGATAGTCACCCAATAAGTCTCTCTTATGCCTCGGGATCACGTCCTCAAGCTATTTCCAGTATTTTGGAATGTACAAAAACCCCCCCAAAATCTTGAGGGAACTGCCCTGCCCCACATACTTCACCGGCAAAAATTCTTCTCAGTGACAGATGAACTCCGCTTGGAGGAAGATGTATGAGTAGGAGACAACAAAGGCAGTGCTTGGGTGGAAGATGACGGTTCTGATACTTCGCTCGTCCAAGATTTCAGATGGTTTGAATTTAGGAGTTTAGGACACCAAGCCGCAGAATGGCCAGCCATCGGTCTATTGACAAGAAAGGTTAAACCTTTATCAGCCTCGACATCTTTGTCATCCACAGTTGATAAGCATTTCTATTTTGAATCATTGAGTTCCTTGATAAACACTATCGCGATGTCCTGGGAAATGAGCAAAGCAAACGAACTAATATGAAATTGTAAAATTTGTATTGAGTTTTACTTAAACACTTGGAGATGTCACTGAATGAATGATGGATATCACCAGAATTCTTTCCTAGGAATATCCACTAAAATGGAAGGAAGTTGACACCACCAGGGATTAGGAATGTCACTGCGTGATAGATGGATGTAACGAGAGCTCCTGTCTGGGAACATCCATTGAATGAAGTGTGACATCGCTAACATAGAGGGATGTCGCTGCGTGATCGATGATGAATCACGCCGAAACTCCTCTCTAGGAACATCCACTCCTTCGAAAATGACCAGACCATTACTCTGCTAGTTTTATTGTTTGAATTTCGAATTAAGCAAACCCTGCATAGGGGGGGATCGAACAAAGTAAGCTTATTAATCTGGTTAGGGCTATTAACTAAAAGGGTTGCATAGCTGCAGCTTATTGTAGTCGGTTATTGGGCGTTAAAAGGTTAGATAGGTGGGTTTACGCCTGGTTCATGGGCTTGAAAGTATTCTTAAAGGTTATTGGGGAGAAGCGGTAATAATTTACGGAAATCTTAAATATGTACAGGATCAACATCTTCCTCAAAAACCCGACCAACTAATATTGAATCAACCTGAGCAGCAACCAACCACAATGTTCCAGCCATATCAACGACAAGACGAGTAAATATAGTGCTGGATATATAAAAAGCAAAAGCAGGAAAAACCCCACGCACAAATTTTATCCGCCTGCTTTATTCCTACCATAATCAACTTTCCCCATGAGCAAGGTTTTGATCATCATATCGGACCTATTGTCGTCGATGTGGACTTTCTCAAATAAAAAGAGCTTGATTTCTAATTTCTCTCAAATCCAGTGATATTTCACATCAATATGCTTCAATCTTGAATGCAACACTAAGTTTTTTTTAAGGTAGATAGCACTCATGTTGTCATGATACAAAACAAATTGTTCTTGCCTCAAGCCTAACTCTTGTAAGAATTTCTTCTTTCACAAGAGTTTCTTATCTCCTTCAGTAATAACAATGTAGTATGTTTCTGTAGTAGACACAGCAATACATTTTCATAATCTTGATTGCCAGGAAACTGCTCCCCAAACAAAAGTCATCATACTTTCGAGTCATTATCACTGGCATATTCTGCATTTGAGTAGCCACTCAACTCCGGCTTCCCATATTACTAACACAAGTAAACTCTAGAAGTGCATCAGAGATACCTCAAGATACCGCTCAAAACTCCCACTAATTACCAAGTACACAATAGTTCATCTCTAGTCACACAACTTGAGGCTCAACACATGAACAATTCAATAATACATCATCACCACAGAGGCGAATTAACAGGGAAAATTGTTCAAAAAGTCCTAAATCTATTACATTTTTATCAATTCAGTCCTAAACCTTTCAAGTTTACCAACTGAGTCCTAAACCTATTCACTTCTTATCAATTGAGTCCATCCGGCCAATTTTGGTCGTCAAGCCAATGCTGATGAGGCAATTTTTAATATTTTTTTCAAATTTTTTAATATTTTTTTATTTTTTTCCTTTTCTTTTTTTTCTAGCCTTCTTCCCTCTAGCCGGTCCGGCCAAAGGCGAGGGCCAGTGAGGTTGACCTCACCGGCTCGACCTCGCCGGCCCCTGGCTGGGCGAGTTTCGACCTCACGCCACCAGGGGCCGTCGAGGCTCGCCCTCTCCAGTGGCCGGCGGGGGTGAGCTTCGCCAAAGGCCGGCGAGGTCGACCTCGCCGCCCCTTGCCTCTAGCCGATTCAACCTCGCCGGCTGGACCGGCCAGAGGGAAGAAGGCAAAAAAAAATATTAAAAATTGCCACGCCAGCTCCGGGCGGCCAAAATTTGCCCAATGGACTCAATTGGCAAGAAATGAAGAGGTTTAGAACTCAATTGGCAAACTTGAAAGATTTAGGACTGAATTGGCAAAAGTGCAATAGGTTTATGACCTTTTGGACAATTTTTCATGTATTAACATAAAAGAGCAAAAACAAAAAATCTAACACAATAAGAGAGACCGTGAGATAAGTTGGAGAATGATTTCAGCAATTGGAACCGTTCACTTTGTAGCTCTTGATCTTACGAACCACGTACTAAAATTTCAGCCGATTCCAACAAGATTTCATCGTCGAATCTTTGCCGAAAGGATGTGTCGAATCTTTGCCGAAAGGATGCTGCTGCTTCTCCCTCGCAGAACCGTCGATCCTTATTTCATTTGAATTTTTTTCTTTCTTTTTTAAATGATGAGCTGGGCCCCATGAGGCGGACCACCCCAACAAAGATAACGAAACATCTCCTACTTTCATCCACAAGAGACGTTGCTTTACCATGAAACCTCACTTGACCTTGATTAAGAAGATTATTTATATCATAACATTCGATGTTTATTCACTCGCATAGAAATCATGCCATGGGTGGCAGCTTACATAATCAACACATCTCATGGCATTTTTCTCTCTAGCATCCAAGTTAAGTCCAGAAGCAACATAAAAGGTGATAATCATGATAATTCATTATATGTTTAAGCTGCAGATGGAGCAGTTCTCTGTTGAACGCCTGCGTCGGCCTCCGATAAAGCAGCAATGAAGGGCCCAAACTTTGTGGAGCTGTCTGAAGTGGCGTTCTTGTAGTCCAGAGCTTCATCTTCATAGATGTCCCACCATTTCTTCACCAGCATCTTGATGTCCTCCCTCTGCATGTTCTCTTCCTGCCCAGTGTACCTCCATGGCTTTGACCCCTATCAGTGATCAGCAAGCAAATATTGGCTTGATTAAACACCGCCCATTAAAAAACCTAATTTGGATTTTTAGTTTACCCATTTTCTGAGGATATATCACGTATAAAATATCAAGACGATAGGTTCTAATCTTGAGATATCTAATGCAAATCTTGTGAAGATACTAATTGATATAGATATGAAGCAAAAACAACGTTCTGTGTCTGTAGCTAGAAATCAATGTTTCATATGTTCCATATTCTCGTTATGGATGGCCTACATAATTTTAAAAACAGTTCTTGTGAGAAGAATCATATCAGCAAAATCCCGGTTAGCTAATTAATTGCCTACATTCAAGTTGCATTGTATTGCTTTTTGGTGGTTAATATAAGAGTGGAGTCACTCACCGCCGCGCAATAGTGAACAACCTTCACTTGTTTGACGTCAACGTTTTCAGGGTGACGCCATAGCATCGCCAGGACAAGGTTATACATTGGAGGAATTGGCTTGTATATATCCCTGAAGTACATGTTCAGAAAATCCTGCAGGAAGAAACATACACTTATCTCCCATTAGTACAAGATATACGTTGTTGTGCGGTCATTAGGGTCAATTATAGTTAAGACAGTCTGCCAAGCAAGTCTGGTGTAGTTGTTGGACGCGTTACATATATGTATATGCGACGAGATAATTGTATGCGTAAATGAGTCATGTTGAACCTAAGTGAATTATTGCTTAGAATTACATGATGCTCCCGATTTTAAGCCGTGACTAACCAAGTCATCCACGGTACATATAGAACAAAGCATCACATAAATTTTTCGTTCATGTACATGCTGAGTCGGACTTTGAGAAGCTTCTTTCAAATACAGAATGGCCATGGTTGAGTGTGACTTGAGAGAGACCGAACCATTCTTATATTAGAGTGTAATGAAAAGGCAATCATGCAGGCAACGATGTCTTCTAGCTAGAGACTAGGGTACATCCAAATGACATGCACGAGCTATATCGACAGCCTCAAATTTGTGGCTATGCTAATGTGGTGTAATATTCGATTTGTCACCTTTATGTGTAAACATGTCTATATTCTGACTATCTCGTAATGCAAATTAGCGCGTTTAAAATGAAAGCAATTGATTAGGGTTTTTGTATACCTGCTCAGCAAATGAGGTGGGAGGAGTGATTTTGACAGTCTCCAACAGATCAAGGTAAGTCGAGAGATTCGGCTCGTACACGAACATGCCCGCATTGAAGTACAACGGCGGGGGCGGGCCGAGCTCCGGGGTCCATGGCACTCGCTCGGGGCACTGTTGGCAGTACCCGATCTTGTATTGAGGGGAGGAGCTCCAGGTCTTCTCGCAGAAGCAGTCCATAACGGCGTAGAAGAAGCCATCCGGTGCATCGAAGAGGTGGTCGATGTTGTCGAACACTTGTATGTCTCCATCCAAGTATATCATCTTTGTGTACTCCACAAACTGCAAGTCAAACCAACAAAATTTGATCAAGTCACTGTCAGATCATATGTCGAATATTCGCATGTAAAAGGAAATAAAGTGGGAATATGCGAGAAAACTTGTTAAGGTTATGATAAATCAATCAAAAATTTGAATTGAACCGCTTGTGAAGATATTGTGTACAAACTTTCCAAAACGGCTTTTAAACAGCATTCTTTAATTCCAAAATGGGCATTTTAACAAAACCAATAGCAAAAGTCTAATTAAAGAAATTTTCTTTTCATGACAAGGAGAGGACATCCATTAACATTGAAAAATAGCATCTTCATGAACAAAAAAAAACAGATTGGAGGCACATGTGAATATAGAGAGACAAAATTTCGATGCATGGAATTGCGCTTTTAATAATGATTGACGCATATTAGATAAAAGCATCTTTTTCCATCACCTCCCAAATGCGAAGCTTCGAGTAGTTGATGACGTAATAGGCCATGGCGTACTCGGTCTGGTTCTCAGGTGGATACACCGGCTCTATCTCGCGGACGATGCAGCCCTGCGACTCGAGGATCCGGCGGTGCTCCTCTGGCACGTCGGGCAGGCACGCCACGACCAGAGGATACACCGCCTTCGACTTCCTCAGCCCCTTGGCCAGGCCGACCACGCCCTTCACGTAATCGCCGTTCCCGGCCAAGAACGTGACGTACGCTCTCTTCGGCACGTCGCTGCCGACGATATCACCATCTCTGCCGTTCACTGCTTCGGTCATCGCCACCGGTGGTGCCATCTTTATCAGTTCAAGAAAAGAGGGCGAACGAAGGAGACGATGACAAGAAGATGCGAACTCTGAGGAAGAAGATATGATAAGAAAGGAAAGCAAGATATGGAGTTCTTGTTGTGGGGAGAGAGGTGGGGTGTTTATATAAGCATGGAGAATGGGGGTCGAAATGGGAAGAATGAAAAGATATCGGGGGGCGTGGGTGGGTGGGGCAATGGGAGTGAATAATTTGAGCATCTTTGTGATTTCAACGATCAAGATTCTATTATATTTATTTTACACGTGTCTATAAGGTGAGAGGAATGTCAGATTTTCCTTTTACAAAAGAAAATTTACACTCGCCAAATCTGAGCACACGACACACTAAAAGTAGGGTTGCTTTGAATAAGATAAGCCATGGAATCTTGGGGAAAAGTTTTAAAAACGGTCCTAAACCTTTTGCATTGGTGTCAATTTAATCATAAACATTTTTTTAGTACCAATTGAGTCCTAAATTTTTTATTTTTACGCCAATTCAATCATTCAGGCTAATTTTGACCAGATTTTGCTGACGTGGACTCCTGCCGGCCGGCCACCAGCCACCGGCACTAACTTGGATAACTTTTAATAATATTTTAATATTTTTTTGAATTTTTATTTATTCTTTTGTTTTCTTTTTCTTTTCTTTTCCTCCCCTCCCTCTTCCTCCCGCCGATCGCTGGACCGGCGACCGGCCAGAGGCTAGAGGCTGGGGAGGTCGACCTCGCCGACCTCTGGCAAGCCACGTCGACCACGAGCGAGGCTCGCCCTCGCCGGCAACAACGAAGGCGAGCCTCACCAGATCCGGTAAGGTCATGCCTCGCCCAGCCCTCGCCAGAGGCTGCGAGGTTGCGGCCTCTACCGAGGGCTGGGCGAGCCTCACCCATGGCCAGCGAGGGCGAACCTCGCCAGTCCAGCGCAAGGCCGCCCTCACGGCCATCTGGCGAGGGCGAGCCTTGCCTGTGGCCAGCATGGCTCTCCAGAGCCCTCGCCGGCCTCTAGCTAGTCGCCGGTCCGATGACCTGCTCGAGGAAGAGGGAGGGGAGGAAAAAAAAAGAAAAAGAAATAAATAAATAAATAAAAATTCAAAAAATATTATTAAAAGTTGTCCACGTCGGCACCGGTGGCCGGCCGACCGGCGTCCACATCAACAAAATCCGACCAAAATTTGCCGGAATGACTAAATTGGCACAAAAATAAAAGGTTTAGGACTCAATTGGCACCAAAAAAAGATTTAGGACTAAATCGACACCAATGCAAAAAGTTTATGACTTTTTCAACACTTTTCCCTAGAATCTTGTGTTGCTTCAACGGAAAAATGTCCTTTTTTGTTTTTGCAAAAGATATGAAAAATGCCAACCATTGATGGAAAGATCACGTAATCTTGGACAACCCTTTTGGATGATTCAAGGACCGTGGTTAACTCACTAGGAATATATTCACGGTTTATCGTTTATTTGGATAGAATTACAGTTAAATTAAGGAAATGCAATCCTCGTCCTATTGATTTTTTATCTTGTTAATTAATAGGGGATAATTAACTATTTCATTCCTTTTCTACACTTGTCGAAACTCGAAATTAAGGGGCAATCTTGATTTTTTTTTATATCTAGATAATATATAGGTGACTACAAAGTTGAAAACAATGAGAATTGACTGTCTTAGAGATCAGCTTCGTCCAAAGGCGTGGAATCTCGTGGTTCATTCATTCTTTGTATGATACAAAATAATATTAACATATATGACGATTTTTTTTGGTGGGATCACATATCTGATGATTGAACAAGTGATAAATAAAGGAGTTCGACTATGTTCCATGAATTCACGAGTTCGATTCAGGTCGTGAATGAGCATCTAAACGGCTTGTGCTGCATTGACTAAATGTGCCATATCTCGTGTGGAGAGATTTCCTGACTACTAGCGTCTTATTTGAGGTTGCGGCAATGGGCTTGCCAGCCTCATTTTGGGTCAACGGTGATGTGAAGTAGTTATTACTCAAACCAAACATTCCATAACTGGCGGAAGATTTCTATGGCGATGTCTATACTGATCACGGGCACTGACAGCCATTTCCATCCTTTCATTAATAAAAGAAAATAATATCGATATAGACAATGTAGCAGCCCAATACATAAGCAGGTCTTGGTGATGTTTGAAAACCAGTACCCAGTACTCCTTTTCCATCAGAATGTTTTAGACATTCGCATCAGTTCTTAAGTCCTTTTAGGCATATGCCAACACCAAAGGATTATGTCGGGTGAAACACTGTGGACTTCTAAAAAGGGATCACCGCAGGAGTCGAAGAAGATAGAGAGAGAGAATCCCCTTTCTGGATTGGAGAGAACAACATCTTTATCCGCACGATTCTAACACTCTGCAATCGAATGCAACGTATATACGAAAGGGTTTCTCAGCATCTGAAGCCACTGCTAGGTTTTTGAAGAGGTGGCATTATTCTGCACACAAGATGCAGACATCTCCTGTCGTTTACCGCAGCTCACCACCTTTGCGGTTTTGCCAGCTTCTGGTGATGGTGTCTTTCACCGCAATACGTTGATACCACTTCTACAAGGACCCGAAAATGAAATTCCAAAAGGACTCGGTATTGATGAGAAGCTTAAATACTGCAGAAAGCTACGAGTTTAACACAAAATTGATGTGTTGAATGATTCAATGCATGACTAGGCAGGAACGTGTGGTGCATACCTATCATTGCATGAAAGAAATGGCTTTGCACTGCTCTAGCATGAGGCAATCATGACTAAAGCAATTGACTTTGGTGCGCAAAAATTTCTGCGGTAATATGACTTTCGGTTTATTGGTTAAGTAACGGACTTGTATAAATGTGGGTTGAAGACGCTGACACACGCTCGCTCTCGACAATATCATTAGTTATAAGTCATGTCTTTTTTTTCGGCGACTGACCGGATTTTAACTCTTATCTGATTTAATTTACGCTATAAATGAGATATTTTGTGAATTCGGAGTTTCTATTTTAAGGTGGTCTCTTTCATCATGGAAAGAATCTACACGTTTAAGAAATTTATTGCATGTGTATCCATGAATTTTGTACCACGTGGAGATAAGCTTTTCTTGCCAATTTTTTGGGTGGGGGGGGTATTTTGGGGGCGGTCATTTCCATTTTATTCTCCGCATGAGCAAAAAAGAAATTGTAGGCCCACTTTCACTCTCCTCACATGGTGTGTAAACAAGTGTCCATGGCGGCCAAAAAGTTTTTTGTTGGTATGTGCTTCTTTAGTTTGCAATGGAGAAAGCAAGGACAATAGACGACCATCCACTCTTGCTTTCTATGTGAAGACAACTTTTTTCGAGTATATCAAGATTGGGAACTCTTGAACTCCGTTTGGGGCGGGGATACGCAGATAAGATACCAGTTATAAAGATAGACAATTCCCTAGTTCTTTCCTTTATCTCTTATATCTACTATAAAAAAAATTGTCTAAAAAGTCCAAAACCTATTATCCAATAGCAAATTCATTTCTATAATTTTCAATTTATCTATTTTAGTCTTAAATCTTTTGAAATTTGCCAATTTAGTTCTTCCAACCAAATTTGGCAGGAAATCACTAACATGAAAGTCAGTCGTCTTACGTGGTACGACCGATGGGCAACCGGCACTGATGTGGATAATTTATGCATTTTTTTAAAAAAATTTCTGAATTTTTAAATTTTTTTTTTTGTTTTCTTTATCAATCGTGGGCTAGCAAGGAATATGGCCCTCGCCCAGATTTAGCAAGGGCCTGTGAGTCCTCACCAGCCCACAATTGAAAAAAAAAAGGAAAAGAAAAAATGCGTGAAAGTTAAAAGAAATTGCAAAACATATCCACGTAAACGTTAGTCGTGCCCTGTAAAACGATTGGCATCTATGTTACCAATTTATTGCCAAAATTAGCTGGAAGGACCAAATTGGCCAATCTTCAATAGGTTTAGGATTATATTACTCAAATTGTAAAGTTTAAGATTGAATTGGCCATTGTATAATAGATTTTGGACTTTTGGTACAATTGTCTCCATACCATTAGATAAGGGGTTAATTACAACCAAAAAAAAAGGGAAGAAAAAAAGAAAGGTTAAACGTACTTCACATGAAGTGAGACAGAAGCACATGATCAAATAGATTCTGAATCGTATGAAGAGGAGAAGAATCAAATAGCAAGAAACTACTAAGTGTCGTAAGTAAACTGCTCCCGGTTATTCAATCATTGGATAACCATAGTCATTTTTTAATAAATGATCACTATGAGTCTAACTCTATAGAATTTGATCAATCCTTTTTCCTTGCCGCTAAGGTGGAAAGCTGAACCAAGAATTATATTTCTTTACCATCAATCGAGTCACTGCTTGCAACCCAAGATTCTATTTTATTGTCAATCCTCGCACGTTTTCCTTCCAAATGTAGGAGCAAGGAATATAAGGGCCAAGTCTTAGCAAAACTCTTGGAATCTATCTAGAGAAAGAATCGCATTACATCGACATTTATGGTAAAATCGATAAACCCTTTTATAGCAAGTAAATATTCACGCCTAAAGTCCTGCCAAAATCATGATAAAAAAATCCAAACAGAATCTCTCCCTCAAAGGAAATAATATTGATCGGAACGTACCTGGCCTTCTTTCGTGGACGTGGCATTTGAAGGTCCTTCTACGGACAGGGATTTCCTATTTGGAATAAGCTAATTTAAGACAATCGTAAAACGCGAACGATTCGAACTTTCAGGACGTAGAGAAGAGACCTAAGCCCGTCGATAACCATTGCTCATCAAGAGCATTGCCGAGAAATGGATGAGAGAGACCTATGACAACTATCACTGTCGGACATGGCAGGTCGAAGCCCAACTAATGAAAAGTTCATAAAAACCGACATCGATGGCACAATAAAGGAGATCGACATTGGCAGCACAACTTGATAGGATCTTTCTTTCCAATTCAAATAGCAACTCCATTCATACCTGAACAAGAATTCAATGGAGATCCAAGTGAACCTCCAAGGAATCAGAATTACCTAAAACTGACTAATCATACGTATAACAGTAGATATGTATGCATCGTGTATATGAATACAAAAAGGACTTCAGCCAAATCTGATTTGATCCTTAATCCATCAATACCAGCATAAATATTAACATAATAACATCGCGAATGAATTCGGACCCATCCGAGACTAGAAGTAGATTATATTCATCCCAACGTAATTCTTTCGATGAAGAACGCTCCGTTGATTTCTACAAAATACCATTTCGAAAGTTTCTTCTTGAAATCCAACTGCAAGATAGGGCCATCAATTGGTGGCTTCCAGAGAGATGCAATCATCGACACAGATACAAGAGCTGAACCTTCACTGTACACGACTCGATATGCTTTCCTAGATACAAACTAAAGATCGATCTGTAAATTAAATGACAAAGACAACTTCCGAAAGCTTTTCGTACATCCAATTAATATACATAGGATCTCTCTACTGCATCTTACGAACCCCATATGTACAGTACCAGGCCCCCCATGAATCGACACCCACTCGACCTGGGCTTCAGCAATCACCACAGTTCTGTGGAGGCTTAGATGTCCTTGGGAGACTTTGCACGAGTGACATCTAAAACCCAGGCCTCGCGCCCACTGAATGTCGAGAACCCTGACATAGGAGCGCTCCAGAGCGTGCTCGGAAGATAATGTGACATGTAGATCAACTCAGGTCGAAACCAGCCTCCGCATTTATTGCGTACAGCAATTTTGCTTCCATCTGCTCTTTGCTGCAGAGATTTGGGCGTTTAAAAGCACGTTACACAAAATTAATAGAAACCCAGTGGAGGATTATTTCGTTTATACATAAGAAAGATCAACTATACGGCACCAAAGGGGAGCAAGCCCACATGAAAAAAGAGCTCAAAAAACTAAAGCCATACACAAAACAGATATCATAACCAAAAGAGCGCTCAACTACATGATAAATCATAAATTACATCAACCAAATATCAACCTAAGCATTTACATACATATGCAAGTTTCCACTATCCAAAAGTATGAAACTTTTGAGCAAATGACGAAAAGGGTTGAATAAAGCATGGATGAAATCCCTGAAGACTGAAGAACATGTGAAAAATAAACATGACCTTTTCTCCTTGTATAGTGAATATTGTTTGAGGCTCTAATCTAATGGCAACATGCATATTTGGCCTGTCGGCATCATGCGCTGCTGTACATAGAGCTCTTCGTATATAATAGTGTTATTTCTTTTTCCTTTCTCCTTTTCTTTTTGCGTTGTTAGAAGGGAAAATAAGCGGATAAATTACTTTTCCTTTCAACATAAAAAAGTTAAAATTACTAGGAAGATAATGACATAAAGCAGTGAGCACATGGATTCACACGGTTGGCAAAGTGATACAACAAAAAAACTGCCAAGAGTTGTGCTAACACACCAACTAATGTAGTGCCATAACAATGAAGAAGGTTGTGCCACATAATGACTTCAACCGACCGTACATAAAAGATGGGCTCTACATGTAATACATCAGCAAGACGTGTAGATTGATTATACAGCCCAAAACCAATAGAATAATTCATAGACAAAGAGTTCACACTGTCTCAAATCATGTAAGCAAAGAGATAATAGATGAAATAGTTGCATGATAAAATCTTATAACGTGCACAGGTGCAATATGTTGGTTCTTCAATAACTACATCCCTGTACGAAGTATAATGCAGATGACTGGATGACAACTTCTTCTGTCTAAAAAATTAGTAAAACCATGATCATTGATAAAAAAAAATCTATATTTTAGTCATGTCAATGGGATTTTTGTGGAAGAAAAGGTTAAGAATACATTCTTTTTTTTATAATAAGATTAAACAGGGAAAACCAATTCAATCTCGTACTATCGCACGGATCTTTCAAAAGAGAGCTTATCCCACCAAAATAGAAAGAGACCAACAAGATTACGAGATGTGCATAGCACGGATAGTATAAGTCCTGCTCAAGTAAAATAATGTTTTAACATGTTGACCATGCTAGGATTACTTGCATCGCTGGCAACTCAAGCAAATGTGAGCAACGATGTTTCAAGACACCGACAGCAGCAAGGAACCATATATGTCGGAAATGCATGTGTCTTTAGGTTATCAAGCAGTGAGGATGATCCTAGTGGATATTGCAGGAGAAGATCCAAAATTAGGCCCCAGAAAAACATATAGGAGAACTGGACAAACCTTCTATATGGTGGCAGTTTTAGCAGATTCATACAAGTGGCTGATGTAGGCAATCGGTCCAGAGCTTCTTCAGAAGCACTACCAGCAGCCCTGGCAAAACTTTTACTCAAATAAGAAAGAAAAAGGATAATCACAGACAAACATGATAAGAACATCCATACAGCACATTTATACCCATCAATTATAAAACTAGGATAGAAAGACCTTTTGTGGAAGCAGATTTAGCTCGATGTATCTTACCTTTGTACGCAGAATGACGGCTCCAAGTATCTGAATCCAAGCAATGGTCCTCGAGAGCACCCTGTCACAAATCTGAAGCAAAAGAGACTGACTATTAATTGGTATATTTCACGAGTCGATTTGAAATTCTTCAAGGCAAAATATAGAGCAGGATACTGACATGAAGTTCCTGGGACAACAAATATCAAATAAAACAGAGTAATGGTATATGCAGAAAAGTTTTTTCCAAAACTTTTACAAAGAGTTGAAGAGGCAAACATCCATTGGATTTTGTGTGTCCCATCATTTAATGAACGTACCCACTTGCTAATTCACATAATAGGTGTTCGCTACGTCAACTCTTAGCAAAAAATAAAAGCATTACCCTATGAATAAATTACTTATACAAATCGAAAGGAAAGATAGGATCCAATAGTTTAGAAGGCAAACACATGAAAGAAAAAATCAAAAGATCTAAAACTATGAAAAGGTAAGAAGTTCCATAGATGAGGAGAAAATTCCAAGGCATAGCTTAGAATCTAGCTGGACCAATCATCAAACAGCTTAAAATCTTGCCTAAATGAAATTCATAGAAGCAATAAAGGTGTCAAACTCACTTCAAAAATTTCTTTTGATTTTCAGATGAGAAACCCTTGATAACTCCCCAGAACATCTCGATGACATAGTGCTCCTGTCATATTAAGGACACGCATAAAAAAAGTAACCTAATCAGATAGTCTCCCTGCAACAATTAGATATTTAATAACGCAAATACATCCTGTAATATTTCGATGATATATGAAGTAAGACAACCACTGGCCATTAAATCTTGTATAAGCAACATAAGCAGTAGCACTTTGCAAAGTCTTTCGTCTCACCGAACCAAATAAAATCATGAAAACCAAATTCCACAAACTTACAAGGTTCATTTTACATCAACGGTCCCTGCAGCGATATAATAAGAATGCCAAATGAAACTCCCATTATAAAACTTTGCTAATGAACAGCAAATTCACAAACCCACCAGTTTGTTCATTTGTACAGCCTTTCTCAATCTTCAAAAATATAAGAGAAAAAGAGGCTTTACCATCCCTCAAAGCAATCAAGCAATACTCACTCTCTTCATTTTAAAGAACAAAATGCAACAGCTTGCTCAGAGACAGCCAACAATACCCAAGATAAGATCCACAAGCCGAACAAAAGTACAAAATCATTCTACCAATTAGCAACATAATCCCGTGCCTGGTAAAGACAGAAACTCACACTGTGATAACCGCCTGCGTAGGTGGTGTTACTCCGCAAGTCATCAACATCCAAGCTGTCCAAGGAACCTGATATAAGAAGCTGTAGAAAGAAAGGATGAATCACATACACATAGAAATAGAATTCAAGAATCCGGTGTAGGAAGAACCTATGACAACAAACAACTACAACGGACAGACAGAGAGAACCCTCTTAGCCCAAATGTATCCAACTTAAGGCCCTGTCCCAACCTAGATATCGAAATAGACAATAACCAACCAAATCTCTTTGAACGCTTGGAATTAACAGGCCAGAATTATTCGGACAAGAGAGATGTGAAGCGGACTATATCCCAACGACGCATTATGAATATCCTACGCCCAAATTAAAGCATTTTAAAAGTTGACTTAATTTGCTAATAAATATTAGTCAACTCGTTTGTCTTTCTAAAGATATTTGCATTTACTTTTAGAAAATGAAATAAAAACAAAAACTCTATGAACTCTTTCATATGGTATAAGTCAGTCTTTAGTCCTCGTAATTACTTGTTACAATCTCTAAAACAGAAAACCAACTAGACAATCTCTCACCTTCCACATACCCATAATGCCCCCATATTAGTATGAATAAGTATACTAGAAAAAAAAAAGTATACTAGAGGTCCCGCAGTATTAGCTGTGTTTTAGGGTAGCATACTCAGAAAATCAATAAAAACAATAGATACTGAAATAGGTAATTAGAATTCCAAATCAAAATAAGGAAAGACAATGTATAAATTAATAAATAAGATGAAAGGTGTCCTTGATGAGAGTTGAAGAAATTATACTAACAAATCTAAGCAGCACTGGAGGGGCACTTGCTGAAGAACAATATTACAAGAATTAATATGTTCAGTAAAGATTGAGACGTTTTACAACCAAGTTGACAAAATCAGGCTGAATAAAGTCATATGGGATGAGAAGGTTGTCATCTAGGAAAGCTCGGGGAGTGATGTGATGATCAAAAGACTACTTTGCGACTTTTAAAATATTAGTGGAATGGAGGTTAGTGGTCATGTGGCAGGTGGCTTAACTCCAAAGTTATAATCTACCCACTATTATAGTTTCATGTATTATCGGTATCACCAGCTTCAGCCAAGAATTATTTCACTTTATCATTTTAACATTTTCTTATTTGTATTCATGCGTGCCTTTCGACCTACTTAATGCTGTTAATTCACACTAATAAATACTTGAAAATTTGAGTATATAGGTAGGAGAAATTTGGAAATGTTTGAGTAAATGTCAGGCAACACCCATGCCCCAGTGTCCAACTGGATCAGTCTTGAGCTGATTGCGTTCAATCAGTTAGTCTTTCAGCTTCCACCCAACCCATGGCGTTTCCAAAATAACATCTAATTCATTTAGCTTAGACACATGAAATCAATTATGCCTCTTGGTCCAACAAGATCACTAATGTTGTTCCTTTTCAATTCTACTATGATATATAGCCAATGACATGTGCCTAGCGAAGAAGAATAATGAACAAAAAACCCATGGAAGAACATCTGATGGTTCAGGCAATGAATTAAGACAACTATAAAAGTCAAAGCATAAAAAACTAACAGACTCCATAAAAGGGTACAACCCTACCATAAGAAAACGAGTGGCCCAGTTAGAAAAAATATGTATTTAGAAAATCATGGAAGTATGGCCCATAAACCAATCATGCCATAAAACTTAGGAACTTCAAAACTAGCGATAACCCAAAACCTGTAACCAGTGTTAACTTAGTCTCAACTTTTTCCCAAAAAAATTTAGGCTAAAAAGCTATCTCCTTCTCTTCAATCTGGATGGACCGAAAGTTAAAATATCTACCAAAATTTCAATTGCCAGTAAGACTAAAAGTAGGACAGCCAGCAATTACAAGCATATTGCAGTATGGCATTTTTCTTTTGTAAAGGCAGTACCTGCAGTTCATGCTCGTTAAACATATCTATCCATTCTTTCTGTATGAGCTGCTGAAATCCTCTCAGAAAATGCAAACTTTGTTGCCTTATCTGAAATAACATTAAATGAAATGTCATATTTGCACTCAGGAAAACTAACTCCAAAGAGGAATAAATGGAATTCATCAAACCTGAATATTCAGACGATGATTTGCCACAAGATGTATGAACGTGATGACACTTTCATTAGTAACACGCTTGTTTTTCCCTCCAGGAAGAAGCTCTTCTTCTGTTTGCTCCCCATACTCATTATTCACAATGACGAAGTACAACTCCAACTCTGATATGTCACCGTCATAATGCTGCCAACAATAGTCGGTGAAATTATCATCAAAACCTCATTGTTTCCTATCTAGTCAACCATACAGGAAAATATAGAATTTATGGTCAGCCGAGTAGGCAATTGATCTGGAAAAGCTAAATCACAACTGGAGTATGAACTCTAGAAGGAAGTACAAGATAAATGCTCTTCTAGGGCTTGTAAAACTTGCATAGTTTCTGATAATGATTGATCCTAATTTGGAGTACCAAACCTCTTGCATATTTCCATGGAATTTGATAAATTCCCATGAACTTGTCCAGCAGAAGCTTAGTGAATTTTGAGATGTTACATCCACTGCACAAAATCTACCCAAAAGGTTCTTAGGGATATTTCTAGCCATCGATCATCTAACAAAAGGTCATGGGCTATCATGTTTTTGGTTTACCAAGGAATCGTTCAACTTAGTTTTCTTGACAACAATATCACAATATATTCTTTTCCGTTCAAATATTATTTAAGTCCTTTCCAAATAGACCCTTACTCTCCTCTATCTCATCGAAGTTGAAATTTTTCGTAATAAGTAAAATTTCGTTCTTTATATTTTCTAGCAGACCAAATTCAGAACATGGTCACATCACAAGTCGCCAAGGAACTCTTCAACTCTTTGTAACTCACTAACCCAAAAAAATGGTAATAGAATTATCTTTGGCAACTGAAGTGAAAGGAAATTTGCTTAGTTCTACTAAACTGACCAATAAATGCTCAACTTTTATATGTAAGCATAATTGATGCAGAACTTTTCATGCCAAAATCAGGGTTAAGATAACTTGTGCAGAGGTGGTTCTGCCAACTCAGCTTTTGAGCTAGTTAAAAGTGCATCTGGCATAATCTCGATTAGCTCCACCAATTACCTTGCTTGAGATATATATATATATATATATATATATATATGATCTTTTTTGTATGGAAGCATTCAGCATGATTGACCAGGCCACTGACAGAGGTTTATGACTAGTTTTAGGATAGGAAATCATATGATTTCACCTTTTGTTTGCTGTTCAAACAATAACCAGTTTTATATGGTGGAGCCTGACGAAGCATGAATAAAAAATGCATTATAATGTATATATAGGCTGTTCACAATCAGAGAAAAAAAACTGTCAAAGAGTCCATCGGTTGTAGTTGGTGAGGGAGTCGATGGTTCTTAGCTGGCCAGCATCCCAGGGTGGAAAAGGAGGTTCTTCTCTAACAGATTATCTGTGAATCCCACAATGAAGGATCTAACCAGAAAGGTAGTCTGAGATCCACTTAAAAAGAAAAAGAAAATCAGAAAAGTTTGCCTGTTCAAAAGAATCACTATCTTCAGAAAGAGTGCATTGTCCAATGTAGAGATTTATCTTCATTCCCAACTCATATCTCAATTGCTTGGAGGCTTGGGTAGACACTGAAGTGATCTCGTCAGGTCTGTCCGAAGATGCTCTCAAGTATCACATTGCTAGATTGGGAGCAGTTGATCGGCCCATGGACAAAGGGTGTCTGGGTATCAATCCTCCCAATGTTTTCAAAAGGCTCTATTAGGCTAGTAATTTGAAGATTCATAGTGCAAAAGGATGCTGGCAGGAAAGAATGTCTTCTCAAAGGATAGAAATTAAAAACATAGCTCACAAATGGATTGTCTAGCACTTTGGAAATAGCTACAATAGAACAGGGAGGCTTTCTTTCAGCATGTCCATCTTAAGGACAGGAAAGGGAAAACAATTGGACTCTAACGTGATTCTAGCATCATATTTTATGCCTTGAACAAGGATTCTCTTAGAAGGTGAAGTATCCTAAGTATTATTGATTGACTTGAACACAGACTCTCTTGGAAGTAAGAACTGGGATTTCTCTACACAGACACTTGGCAAACGAGCTTTTAAATGCCAATAAATAATAAATGGGAAATTGAGTTGTGCCTCTCGGACTAGCTGTACCTGACAGATACCAATTTTTCAGTTAAAAGTAATATTTAACTGAATGTTCGGTTCAAACGATAGCTACTCAGTCTCCCAATAGGCGTGCCAGCCCGTCACTGCGGCCCCACCAGCGTGCCAGAAGCCGGGTAGTCTCTCCTTTGCCTATTGTTTCATCTGCTAGCTATGTTTTGTTTTGTCTTTCTTATTTTCTTTTGTTTTAATGTAGTGGAACACTTTCTCTACTATAGCTACTTGTTATTCTAATGATACCATAACTTGTCTCTCTCCTCTCACCAGCCATAGCAAAAGTTTAACACTGGCAAGCATAGCACATGAACCAAGAACCTTTGCCTGTCGTGAGTAAGCAGAAGAATAAGAAAATTACCTTCAAAAAAATAAGGTGACGGTACAACTCTGGGTCCAACGAAGGCAGGTCGTGGAGATAGTTGTACCTGATGCAAATAGTACAAATATAAGAAACAAAGAAAGGAACAGAATTCCCAGTCTTATTCTTTTTTCCCAAATAGAATTGCTCGATTAGTTACATTTTTAATGCCAAATGACCTATCAAAAAACCAGCCTCTGTTCGCCAGTGACTTTCACACAAATTTGTAGAGTTCAGATCCTTTAAATGGTTAACATTTTCAGGTGTGAAATGACACACCTAGATTCATGTATACACATTACCATGGTTGATGGATGGCTATTGACATTGATAGAGTGCAGAAATGGTAACAAAATCTTACTTTTGTTTTAATTTGCTCAAGAAGAAGGTCGCAAATGGTATGTCCACGAGAATCCCCTCATACATTGCCTACAAGTAGAAGATTTATTAAAACCTGCCCAACGCTATCAAACAGTTTGAACTGATTCAATGGATAAGAGTGGTACAAATAAAGGTTTTGGTGTACCGTTACAAAAATTTCAGTTCCTATGTAATGCAAAACAATTCAACATTACATGACAATAAGTCAAAATAAGTTTTGTAACGAACACAACATGAGTGAGAACCTATGGCTCCATAAAAGCTAAGCCCTATCAGAGGTGATGGTAGATTGGGCTCAATCCTACTTGAACTTTATGGTAGGAAAGCTAGAAAGGCACAAAATAAAGTGACTATCCACTCTCACAATTGGCACATCTCCTTTTTGTTTAAGAAAAAAAACCTGTATAAAACATCGTTTCTCTGTGGTGAAACTATAATATAGGTTAACAAAAAGGCCATTGGTACATAAAAACTAGTAATTTTAATCCATATAATGCCTGTTTAGCACATGAAGCAAGGAGATGCTGTCAAAACAAGGAGAGATGACATTTCATGCTGTCAAAACTAGTAATTTTTTAATGATTGGCTTTCTCAGTCCCCAATGCTTGTTTAATTATGCCTTCTGGAATGTTTTGCCGTCAAAACAAGGAGAGATGACATTTCATGAAGAGAAGCATCAGTAGTAGGAAGAATACCTTTGCCAAAAGAGTACCTAAAAAATGGAAGAACTGGAGATGCTGTTCATGTATCAAGCCCGACCCAGGATTGGGATAGAGCAGGTGATCAGCAGTTTCCTGTATCATGCAGAATAGTCAATATACAGATGTTTCATGACAACATCAAACCTAGAGGCAATTACAAAAAGGTCTAAGTTGTCCATATGATGAGCTTCAGATATACCAACTTGTTCATGAGGATATTAACTTTTGCTAGATTACAGGAAAACAACTAGTGGCCACCTCATACTTTGTAGCAGAAAACGAAAAAGCAAAAAGAATCACCAGCATAATATCAGCAGATCTTAGAGGCCACCAAGATCCATATAGAGCAATCTCATTATGACTTTACTAGAGGAGAGAAGTCCCGTATCCTAAAAGAGTGCAATTTCAGGAAAATATTATAAAGCATTAAGAAACAGAACCTGCATTCTTCCTCAAAGCAAAGGTTTGAATCAACTAGAAAAAGTTTAAGCATCTACAATTTCAATCATGCATAGGATCGTGATGGGAAATTGTGCATAAGCAGAAAAAACGAATGAAGGACTGAAGTTCGTAGCTATAAAGAACCAAACCTTAAACAATCCATATTGCACATCAAAGGCTGCTCGTGTTATATTTTCCATGAAATCCTTAAAAATTCCGCCACCATCAATACCAGCCTCCTCAACACCTAATTCATTGACAAAGGATACGCGAATCTGCGAGTAAAATGGCCATGTCAGCATTGAACAAACACAAAGCTACTCCTTCCTGCCCTTTATGTTAAGCTTATGTCAACTGAAAAAGTAATCAGAGAAATCTTACCAGTCCTCGAAGATCCTCTTCAGATAATGCACTCATCTGATTATAAGCATCTTCCAAGATATGGTCTCTCCGTATTCTGAACCGGTTTCTAGTAAAAACAGACTGAGAGCCATGTTTCTGCCTATATGCTGCTAACTGTGACTGCAAGATCGGTTTAAACAAATTAATCGTGGAATATTAAGTAAACACAAGCAAATTTGCATGACCCTCAATCACAATGACGATGTCAAAGTTCCGTGAAATAACCAATCTGCATGACAGCCAAGATTACTCATCAAAGGAAAAATTCTGATGTTCTAATCACTTACAGCAAATATCTTAACACGACTTGTAAACGGCACCAAGAAAGGAGCTTGCTTCAATATGTCATTAGCTCTGGTATTCTCCATTGCAGCCTGACAAAATGGCGTTGGCCAAGTAGCTGCATCAGTCATGGCACAACAATCCCAAAAATTAAATTCAAAATTGGTACCTGAGAGATAAAAAATTCGTTCACGCCATCCGCATGAAAGTCACTGGAAGGAGCAAACTGTCTTCTGTTGTTCCAATCTTGCAACTTCATAGGACTTCAAAAGTTAGAAGGGAAAACCACATCACAGCTTTCTCAAAATACTACTTTTGTTCTCTCAAAAATAACAGAGATCGCAGTTTATCCAGAATTACTTGCTAACTCGTGGGGAATATAAATTTCATGCCCAATGTTTGCAGATAAGACAGCTTTTGTTCTATGTTTGCAACAAGCTAAAGTTCAAGATACTGAGACTAGTTTGGGCTGAAGAACCTATTGATGATTAATTGTCTAATTGTTGGTTTTAGTTTTTTTTTTTTTTTTTTTTTTAGGGTGGGGGCAAGGATTGGGTGGCACTCAATTCTCTTTGGCAAGCAAACTGCAATAACATCTAGCTGTTTTGTACTGGCAGATTGTAATAGTTGTAAAAGTCAAGTTTCATTAGTTTTATAAGATGCATCAGATTTTAAATACATAAACGTATAGAATCTATAAGTATCACCATGCTTTTCTCCATAGTTGTACTTGTGAATTGGAAGTTTAATTACATCAGAACGTTGTCCTTGTGATTCCTAAAATTAACTTCAGAACAATCATTATAAGAAACTTTAATATGAATTTTAAAGTTCCATCACCATAGGAGATAAAACAATTTATATAGAATTATTATCTCAAAATCCCTATGGTGACTGAATACCAGAAAGTTCGCAGGAATCTGATTTTTATGCTTAAACTTGCATATTCATAGTGGTTCTTTTGAACTTTTTTATTAATCTTTCTTCAATGAAGACTTTTGGGAGGGTGAGGAGTACTGCTTCCTCGTTCTGAATAAATGTATCGAATAAATCAAAGGTAACCTTCTCTTCTAATGAATGGAACTAAACATAACTATTCAAAAAATACAGAATGTAAATAAGAAACCGATTGATCCGGTTTAGACAAAACTGTGGTGCTACAAGCATGAAAAATTAGCATATTCAAGCTGCCCAACCACTTCATCTCTATACTTCAACGACTGTACAAGCTAGAGAGAACTCTCAATTTCACTGCATCATCAACTTTCTAGAAAGGCATGAGCGAGAAAGAAGAGAAAAATCAAGATAGCAAAAGAGTGAGAAAGAAGAGAAAATCAAGCAAAAGTAACAGTTTTATGTAAGTTGATTTTCACAGTTTTCAATCAAGATTCACTTTTATCTCATGTCAGCACACCTGTCAATGAGTTATGTCTTTCAACCTGAAGAGACTGCAATTGATGTGCATGCCACAGTAGAATTCTAGAAGCTAATATCACAAGAACTATGATTTGAGATCACTTGTTCTAATAGAGTTGTTTGAGTTAGCATGCTAATGAAAAGTTGTTCGGTTTTCCAACTTTTACATTCATATTATACATGTTAACCCTATCGAAATGATTTACCATGGACCATTAATGACCATGCAACTATAGAAGTTAGTAGAAATTCTAACAGTACTGAAAATTAGGGACCAAGAAATACCAAAAATTGAACAATTCCAGTATCTAGTATTTTTCTTTGCAAAAGGATGGAGAAATCGCTGGAGAGTTCACCCACAAAGTACAAAAAGGATGGATGAAGTGGAGAAGTATATATGGTAATTTGCAAAACAGTCGTATAACACTTAAGCTTAAGAAAATATTCCATAAGATGGAAATATGACCAGCCATGTTGTATGGCATGGAATTGGAATGATTAACACCAACATATACACAAAATTAGTTTAGTAGACATAAGAGTTCTTCGTTAGATCGAGTGCAGTCAAGTGAGAAAAGACGAGATCAAAATGAATCTGAAAAAACAATAAACAGTTAACATTTGTCTCCTATCAAGTCTTGCTACCACTAAGACAATAAGATGTGTTTTGAAAATAAAAACAAAAAACCTTGGGATGGATTTAAGAGAGATGAAGTTCCTTTGGTGGCTTTCTTAACCATGAGCTGTGCATGAAAGAATTATCAGTACTGATTTTTAATAAGTATGGGAATAACTTTAACACATTATTTTTCCTGGCTTGCCAATATTATTCCTATTCGCCTATGATTTCAGTATCTTTAAGAAGATGAGCATGTAACTACTTAGGTGAATACGAGAGGGAAAGTCTTCCTTCATAGGATAGTACTGATTAGTTTATGCACCGAGTGTACTTTAAAATAACTGTAACTCAGCCTTTTTCCCAAGGTGACAAAGGAAAACCAGAACAAATCAAGAACAAACAACTACCTGAGAAAGAAGCTCAGAAGCTACAAGACTGACTCTGCCTTTAATGAGATCTAGGCGATTCATGCCATCAGCAGGGGCTTTAGAAGATTTCGGTGGATTTGGAGCGGTCATAGGCATCACCCACAAGAGTTGCCACAACGCCTGCAGGACGGAGGACCAAATCCATGTATGTAATTTCACAGACATTAATTGTAGCATCTGATCAAAGGCATTGATTTATGAATTTCCATTTATTACACATCTTGATCAGACTTGACAAAAAATTTTCTTTAACCACTGGAAGCAAAATAGTAATCTATCACATTTTCCACAAGGTGACAGTATGCTGATTCTCTGACAAATCTTACCTGCCTCAAAATTACAATCAAGCATCTGATATCCTTCAAGGAGAGGGGCTTCTGCTGCTCATAAAACTCTTCATTGTCAACAATCATAAGCATGTGCCTGGCCAAAACCAAAGAGCACTTCCAATCAATCATGAGAAAAGCTGATAAATGTTAATGGAGTACAACTCCAAAGTCAAAGATTTTATCTTACTTGTATACCGGGCAGAAAACAGCCAGCGGTAGAAGCCACCCTGATGATTCACCTCTCAAATAATCACATTCAGACAAAGTTGACCACTTCTCATTTTCATGGCATCGCTTCATAAAATTCCAAAGAACAGGTACCAGCTCTGTTCTGTAGGCTAACACCGTCATGATTCGTTCAAGGGGCAAAGTGTTGAATGCAACATGCAGAAAAGCACAAGCAGCGCTGATGGATGCCACCTCTTTCTCATCCACTCCATTATGTGAACCAACAACGCACGACAGTCCCCCAAACAGAACATTTGTCTTCTCCATATAATGACAAAGGTAAAAGAACCATAGAAATAAAGTAAGAAGAAGAACATAAGAGATACAATAGTAGGATTTACGAAAAACAATAAAGCTTTCAGAGAATCCAAGGAAATCTGATAATTTTACTTGAAAAGTTACTACAAGCTATCTCACCAATTGGAGAAGAAAGCGCGGATCAATTGCATTGACTATCTGCCGTTCCAAGTCCTTATCTAAGGATGGTTTTATCACTTCATCACCAGCCATGATGTCGTCCTCACCAAATGTAGACCCTGAACACCGTACATGCATACAGTTAGCGATCACAAAAAAGAGTTCACAACCAGTGCCAATCGTGGTCATCATCTAACAACCAGGTACAGAAATGAGCAACCTCCAAAAATCTCTGAAAGGACACGACAGAGAAAAGGCTTGATGAAGATGATAGTTCACAAGGAAACTTACCCTCATTGATCTCCATACTAGGTTGTTTTATAGGAGGAAGGGCGTCCAATAAAAAGGATGCGACAGCAGCAATATCTACAGCCTGATCATAAGATTGTAGAAGATATGAGAGTGTGAGATTCAGATTTATCAAACAAATAGTTCTTTTAGATCATATAAAACCAGCATCCTCAGCAATGAAAAAAAAATGATTGGAAAAACCACCAAAATGGAAAAGATAAATGAACATAATATCCCATACTATGCTTTACTAATGAACTCAAGCAATTGTTGCTGGCATCCTTTCTAAAGTGAACAGACAATATACAACAATAACACTAAAAAACTAGTGTTCAGAAATAGCCAAAGGGAAGCAGCTAGATGCCATGCGCGCTACTAACGAGTTTCCAAATGTTCAGTTCAGTGACAGTGAATCCTTCTTTCACATGTGTTAGAACCATACTTCTGAAAATCACAATAACAGAAACTGTAAAACACATAATTTCATGACCCTAGTCACAGGATATCCACTTCTTAAATCTATGAACATCTGTGACTAAAAAACAATCTATGAACATCTTTTGCTTTCAATCTAAAATATTATCATTTTGGAATTACATACTGTGGCAGTAATTTCATTCAGCTGTAAAGTTGCTACGAGGAAAAAATGGAAGTGGAGAACTACAAGGCAATCTAGCTGAAGCAAGCACCAACGACCCTGACTGATATGATTTTAGAAATATTATGTGGTGATTAACCTAAAAATCCTAATTAAGAATATGCGTTTTGCATATGTATTTAACAAACTAGATTCTTCCTTTCAGCCAACTTCCTGTGTAATCATGAACCAGTCTATTTTCAGCTAAATAAATTGAGCAAATTGCATGGGCCCCAGACTTTAGTTCAAATCATGAGAAGAGTTTTAACAGAAAGCTTCTAGTAAAACAATTTGAATAATAAGAAGACTTCAAAAATGAAACCGTAGGTGGTGAAGCACCCTCTACAAGTTTCTTTCATCCATGTTCATCCATCCCTTTTCAGGCAAAAGATTACATAACATAAAACTGGTGAGATTTAATACGACTCATATGCAACTGCACTTCCTAGGCTTGGCATCCCAATGCCTGCTATCATTTATCCAAGAGCATGACGACATCAAGATTTAAGACAGTTGGCAATTAGCAAAGGACAAAACTAGGATATGGATAAAACCTCTGAAGCATATTCTTCTTTAAAAAACATAGTTTAAAGCATGGAAAGAAGGATGAAAGTTTTTTGAGAATCTTCTTAGAGTAAGGACAACCAATAAAAATTAATTAATCCTTGTTAAAACTTTTCAGCTCATACACGAGAAAGGAAAATACTGGGTCTTTTTGTTCATGAGTGAACGAAAATTGCCCAAGACAAATTTGAATTACCATAGTTTGGGGATATAATCACTGCACTTTCATCAGCGAATTATTTCTCAGCATTAGTGTACTACGTTCCTTGTTAAAAACTTTAAAAGGAGGTAATCCTGTGTGCTACGATTATTGAAAGGTTAATCAAACAGATGGGAACTGCAACTGCTGTACCATGTCAAAACTGCAGCCGGGATGAGATAAAGCAATTCCAGCAGTTTCCAACACATTCCCAAGGAGGCAGGCATAGGCAGGAAAATCAAGAGATAAATCCTTTGGTAATATATTAGCATGATTGTTCACACAGAGTGCCATCTGATGTATGTAGTGTTGACTCAAGCCTTGTGCTGCAAAAACCTGGAAAATGAGCATATCCATCATCAGAGCCTTTGTTTTAAAATATTTTTTCTAGGTATTTTTCTATGTAGTTCAGTTTGAAGAATCCAAAGAATTGACAACCTACACATTTAAAAGAAGGATACTATCAATAGTTGGGTGCAAAGTGGCTTTATCTTATTCTTCCTTTTTCACTATGTGTCTTCTATCTTTGTATTTTCCTTTCCTCTTTGGTGTGTGTGTGTTTGCGTGAGTGTGTGATGGGGAAGGGAATGCTTATTAGAGTTTTCACTGAAGGAGGAACAGAAGTTGAGAGTACATACAGGGAGCACATATCCATATATGAGCTCATTGGAGAGAGAATTTATATCGTCCATTAAAGCAATTACTGCACATGCATTTTAATCTTCAATAACTAATTATAAAACGTTCTAAACAATCTAGATAAAATGGTTTTGCAGGAGACTTTTGCTTTCTCACGTACAGTTGTTGATATAATTAGTAACTAATCAACTGACATACACGCAATGTTCGAATACAAAGATACTGGCATTACAAAGATTAGTACAGATGATTCCCTAATGAAGAGATGCAAATGTACATTGATCTAAACAGAGAAAGATTAGAAAGGATCACCTCCTTCAGATGGGGGAAAAGTTGCCATAAGAAAGGAATCGTAAGAAGCTGACACGAAAAACTCCGTTGAGGATCGATACTTAAGCAATTACATGGCTCCTGACCGGTATGAGGGATCATTTGGCAAAGAACACACTCCAATGCAGAGATAGATCTACTGAAAATAAAACTTTTCCTAGTTTCCTGCATGTTATTATGGGTTAAGATGTCACATAAACAAGAGAGAATACAAAACATATCTAGTTTCAGTTATAAACAAATTACCAATGGACCGACACAAAAATAGTAATGGGTAAAAGTCAGATACACATTGAATGAAGTTCCATGACACTACATCTACAAATCTTATATGAAACCAATCCATTACAGATTTTCTCTAGTCAAGTCATTCAACAGAGAATAGATGGTACCCTCAATATATTTCAGTCTCATAACACATGATCAGATAATCAGGCCTAAACCATGAACTCAGGATCAATATACCCAGATGAATATGACCGAACAAGAGCAATTCCTCCAATTTCCACCCAATGAAACGAATAAACACTTCCATGGAACAACGAGCGCACACCTCCGAGCAGGAGGTTCGAAATATTTACAGTTCATTTTAAGGGGAACAGGACGGACTGCATGATGAATCCTTTGAACAGCTACACAACATAATTGCATACATTGTAATAGTTCAGGCCAAGCCACTTGGAGAAGCCCCCGTGATATAGGCCAGCGGAAATTGACAGAAATGTCAGAGCAATTGTTCTCACTCAAAAAGAAAGTAATTTTAAGATTATTTACATAACACAAGAATCTTCTGAAAACAGATAAAAGGGCAAAGTTTAGATGCTTTAGTAGACAATTTCTTTTGGCATATCATGAAGCAACTTATTGCTACAAGAGATTAATTTATAAATGAATTTATCCAAAATAATTAGTATTGCATTGTTTAATCAAAGTTTCTCAGGAAAAAATTATATACTAAAAGCATCATTTTGATAATTAAAAAATAAGACTTTTTTATGAACGAAAAAAAAGCAATTTACCAATATTATTTTTCTGATGACATGGAACTCCAAATCCTGGATAACTTGACAAAACAAGTAAGACACAAACCTAAGCTTAGGTGACATCCTACTAACTCTAAATTCATGAATTACTACAGAAAAAGACCAAAATCAAACTTTCAAGCAAGACCCCTCGTATTCTAATAAAGACATTCTGATCATTTCTCTAACCATTTATTTCCTCGATTGACTGTGTTAAAAAAAAAAAAAAAAAAAACAAAGGAACCTAGCAAAAGGTCTTGCATGAATTGACTTGGATTCACTACAACTTTGATCTCAACAAATTGCAAATTCTAAAGGAATTCTACCGCCATTAGCTGCTATAAATTAGAGGTTTTTTTTGGTCGACAAATTAGAGGTTAAAAGGGCATAAACAAATGTGGAAGTATATTTTCAAGAAATTCACATATATGAACTCAAAATTTCAGATGTTGAGGATGTCGTCCTCAAGCATCGGAGGATCCACTATATTTGTGTTTATAGACATATTCATCTGCTTCTACAGTTGCCACATCTGCCTTTCGCATGAAAATATCTTCCTTCTTGCAGATTTCTTTTTTCAGACTTCCTATAATGTTTGTTTATCCAGGACAAACATGCCAAAGAGAAAACCTAGACGAACAAAAACTTGTTCAGTTCTTCCAAATTTCAGAAATGTATTTATACAACGGTCCACTCGTAGTCCTCTAAACATCATCCAACATTAAAGGCTCAGAAGTCACAGCCAAATTAACTGGTGCTGTTTCAGTCATCTGAGACAGACCATGATCCCATGTTTGACTATAATGAGGCCGAATAAAGAAGCTTGGCGGAAAAAAGGGGGTTCACACTTAACACAACTACCAGAAAAAAAGATGACACAAATACAATGTAGAGAAGATGGATACCTGCCCTGCTAGAACAATCTCTCTAGACTTAGCAAACACACTTCCCTGCAAGAGATAACCAACCGTCTTACAAACCCATGGAAGTCTAGGATCTATCAGCAGAGCTACTGCCTCCAGCAAGAGAGTTATAGGTTGGCTAGATTCACTCGATGTCGTGATAAGTTGATCCCTGAATTTATATCTGTAATGACAAAAGGCTAAATAAGAACGTCAGATTATAATTAAAATCACTGAAAAGTTCCCTATTTATGTTTATCATGAGGAAGAAGACTCTTTAGTTGGAAGCAAGCTCCCTGAAAATCCATCACCCAATGTCAACTTACCATATTAATGAAATGACTAACAACATCACAGATATTAATAACATAAAGCAGTAAAAAATAAATCTAAAATGCAAGGGAGTTGCCAGAGACAACGGCTAACAAGTCTTACCGAACAGGAGTGCAACACTAAATACAACTCTTAACGCTTGCATCTTTAGTATTTCAATGTAGCTCTTACAAAACTTTCATCTAGCCTAGGCCAAAAACCTAATTCCTAGTCCTTGCATCTTTGGACTGGAGATTTTTTCAAATTGCCTCTCATATGTCCAAATCACCAGAGATGAGTTAATCTCATCGTGTCATCATTATGCACCACCAAACTTCTTCCACATTTGCATTTCTAGTTCAGATGTTAATTTGCACAGTTAACCAACATGTACAAGGGATGGATGATGAGATCACAAAACACAAGGTGTGGTGTGGCCAACTACACTGCTCATGATCTCTATAAGGCTCCTAGAGTCCTTTTCAGCTAGCAAACTCTTCATACGGTGTAAAGAGTAACAAGGGACATAATTTAGCAGACATCCAGAGTACTCACAATAAGGACTAAACCTTATACATTGCCTTTTCGATGGCCAAATAAATACAAGGGTCTTTTGCAGGGACATAGCAATGGTTATTGCTAGTGCCCAATGATTTGTTCAAACCCCACAAACAGTGAAGTATTCACCTGATGGAAGCTCAATCAACAAAAAAGTCCTATAATAATTATTTAACCACTCATCACAGCAGATTCTAAGCTTTTGTTCACATATCGCAGAAAACATGAGTAATGCAGCAGTTCCACATACAATATAAATAGATTTCTAAGGGTTCCATATTTGAACAAACAATCAAGCCATTAATAAACAAAATTACAATTTTGCATGAAACTTATTTTCAAATGGGAAACTACAGTTCACACCGTATATATCAGGTCCAATTACACTATACATCCTTTTTCACAGATTATATTTTTCGCCCTTCGATTACAATATCTGTAAACTCTTTAGCACTGTTGTTTGGAAACCCATTAAAGCCAGTGTAAGCTAATGTTTCACTTGATAATGGAAATGACATTATTATGATTTCAAATTTCTAGAAATGGGACACGACAAGCAAGCATGACCACTCTCCATCCTTTCTCAAGCTTCAATAAAACCACCCCTACACAAAATGTCCTATTGGGCACCACCAACATGCCCTCCACAGCCACTATTGCCACCGCAACACCCCCTGCACCGTCCAACCAACATGTATGATTTACCCATAAATCCACCCAACAAACACCAACTACAAAGCTTCACTATAGGCACCATACACATGAACACCCAGCAGACAAACGCGACACCACCACATCCATGACCATCCAAAACATTCAAATAACCACTGGAAATGGCTAGACAGACTCCCCCCCACCACAACCAAAAACAATGAAGTTAGAGGGCCCTATTTCTGGCAGATTTTCTTCCTAAGGTCCAACTGATCTTCACACCTTATCTTGCTCATGTCAATGGCTTTTTTTCCTCACCTTCACCTGCTATATGATTGTCTCTTGTTTATTGCGATGACCTGACACAAACAAGCACCACTCCCTCTCGAAATATGCATGATTGCCACTAGCACTTGTTTCTTCTCATTCTCTAGCCTTTTTCAATAGTTCAAGGCTTTGAAGAAATGTTATAGTAGTGATAAAGGATCAGTATGAAGAGGACAATAAAGGGAGAATTAGGAGGTGAAATATAATAATGTTAGGTGGAGGATGTGACATTTATATCCAACAATCTAAAAGTACTATTGTTGCCGCTGTGTTGAGGATGTAAGGTGAAACTAAGCCAAAGATATAGGATGAAAAATATAATTCTCCCTTTGCAAGTAATAAAATAACTCAGCAATTCTATTCACCAAAACATCTTTCAATACAACCAACCTATTTTTATATACAGCATCAATGCAAGAGTATGCAAGTCGTTTCACTCTAAAGTCCACCAAAGCCTGCCTGGACAGATAATCTTCTCCAGCAAAGAGGCTCACAAGGTCACCTGTTGCAGAACAAAGATTATTTCCCTCGCAGAGAGAAATTAACTAAAACATAATTGAACCATCCCTAACTCCAAGCAACGAACAAGAAAGATAAATATGAAACCACAAGATGATGGGCAACAAAGAATAAGAAGGTTCCAAATGTCAAGAACTATGAGTCTAATTTAGCAATTCATGGTCAAACTAGAACTATGTCCCTATTATTTGAAAGCCCAAGCATATGAAGAAAAAAACTCGCAGGAAGAAGAGTAAACACTAGAAGACTTTCACAAGATATATGACTGGCTGGGACATTCGAAGATTCGGGCAGCTCGGAGAAAAACCATCGTAGCCACCGAAATTATTGATATTTGACTTAGACCTGTCCTAAAAAAGTCGAGGCATTTCGAATTGTATGTTGACATGGACGAAGTCGGGAAAACCTCTGAAATTATTTCAATATTGGACCTTGGACATATAATAATTCCGAATCGAATATCTTTAGGAAGAAGATCTTTTGTCTCATGGTAGCCTGCTCCAGTCCCCTTACAAAACTTTTGTTATTGGGTTAGCCACACACTTCACATGTTATCATCAAATGACACAAGTATTGGATAAGCATCTACAACGCACTAGAACGTTGTCTCGCTATGACCTTCTCTTGTATTCTCAAAATTTCTGTCACTCCATCCTCGCAAGGGCAAAGAACCCGTCACTGTCTCAAGTGCGCGACCGAAGGCTCCAAGGAAGATAGAATAGGAAAGCACTCATCTTGGGGTGGGCTTACTACTTAGATGCTTGCAACAGTTATCCGCTCAGCACTTGGCTACCCAGCGTTAACAATGGACACGATAACCGATACCCAAGAGGTGCGTCCTTCCCGGTCCCCTCGTACTAGGGAAAGGTCCACTCAATGCTCTAACACCCACACCAGATATGGACAGAATTGTCTCATGACGTTCTGAACTCAGCTCACGTACCGCTTTAATGGGCAGTCGTTAGCCGGAGGGTGTAAGAGTAGATAGCAAAATGAAATTCCCTTTTCCCCTTATTTGACTCTTTGAATAAAATGCAATGGAGAAACCCACTGTGTTTCTAAATAAGCCCCCCAATGTCAAAGCATTTAGCATGTGAATCCAACCCTAGCAAATGATAATTGGGAAGCAAGCCCACAAGAACATCAAACTGCAAGTGAGAATAGTTTCATGCCTGGAAACTAAACAGTGTCCACAAGCAAGAAGTCATCAAAGGTCCCAAAAACAAGTAACAAACTATATACAAGTATATAATGTCAGCTCACACAATCGAGAAACTTTCGGAGAAAAATGGTGGGGAAACATACCACTATCATGAACGTATCTCCGAATAAATAAGCAGACCTCCAGAAGGATTGATAGGTCACCATCAATGTGTGCATTGAAGAAAAAAAGCAACTGACGAAGGAACACTGAATCTGGACCAAAACAATTCCTGGAATACGCAACAAATTTGAGCACAAATCAATTGCTTATACGAAGGAGAATAATCTATCAACCCTCCCCCCCCCCCCCCCCAAAAAAAAAAATAAAGGGGAAATAAGGGCACAATAAGAGACGTTAAACATTTTCCACGATGTTCACTAGTACATCCTCCTTCTATTTTCTGACCTGAAATATGTAATTCCTTGTAAATAAATGATCTTGCACTTGAGTGACAGCCATGACACACACTTTTCTGAAAACATTTTATTCTACCACTGTATAGCTAAGGGCAATGGTCTAAAAGTAAAGGTTTAACATATCTACCTGTCGACATTTTCACATCTCTTCCCATATGTCCTATAGAATTCCATTCTTACATCCAAACGGGCAGCTTCCACATCCTTTCTTCCTCTATAGCCTTTCTGCATGTACAAGTAGGTCAACACATTCACATATATACAAAACCACAATTCATTTTGCCACTCGAAGAGATAGTCTCGATCAAGGACTTGAAATTACTTGGGATTGAGAAAAGTGAGAAAATATCAATAAGGACAATCAACAATCTTAGACTAGATAAGATGCCTTGTAGTTCTTCATATGAGCAAATAGCTTCAACAACGCTAGAATCAACCTCTGCTCCGGCAAACACTTCTCTTTTACTTGTTGGCTAGAATTGTAAAATTTGGACTACGAAAGGCTCTTCCAAGCTTAACTCTACCCCCACCTCAATCAAGAAAAAGAAGAGGACAACTTTATTTTTCCCTGAAGTTGAATCAGAAACGTGATTTAATAAAGACTGATACCAGGGCAGGGGTCCATAAACCAAAAACCAATACATATTACCATCAGGAATAAATCAAATTCCATCATCTTTCCCATGATCCATGAACTGTTATTCCAACTTGAATCAAACCATCTGAATTGATGCCCATACTTTTACATTGCCTATCTCTACTTGTCTATGTGTATTTTTGGCAAACGTTATCAATAGTCGTAGCACCTGAAAGCATTTGATTCTTTGACACTTAAAGCCTTTCAACTTTATCAAGGGGCATGGCAACTATCATGGCGAATCTATCGAACTAATACTACGCGGAGAAGAGAAGCTTCCATTTCATCAAAAAGAATGATGCCACCAAAACATAAGCATTTGCCACTGAAAGGGATAGGAATGCCGACAAACCCAAATTAACATGCCCACTAAAACTGGCCCCTTTGCCAAGCAGAATTTACTCATCCAGATATATACAAGATCATCACCCATCCATTTCACAACAACAATATTCCCGGTCAATGCAAATCAAGTTTCAACAAAACTCGAAATTGGAAATCGCCCTCAACTCCAATGTAGCGCCACGAAACATCACTACAACTAGAAGCTCGTCCAAGAAAAAAGCCACATCACCATTCAGTCATCCACCAAAGCGCGCACAAAGCAGCAATTCTACATGCTAAGTTATATCCTCAGCCGAGCAAACCTGAATTTTGATGGCCGCCAGCGTCTGCTTCCGCAACCACGACCGCCGCTCCCGCTCCAGCCGAGTCTGCTCGACCAGCTTCTGCCTATCCCTCTCCTTCGTGCTGCGGCCCCCGAGAGCGACGCGCTTGCGCGACGAGGGATCGCCGCTGAAGAACATCCTTCAACAGGCAAAGAGTCCCCCCCAACTTCGCCCCCGCGCCCCAGAAAAAAAAAAAAGACCTAGCGCGAGACGATCGCGGGGGGCCGGGCGAGGCGACGCGAATTACCGGCGAACGAGAGAATCGCGGCAGTCGTCGCCTAGTCGTCCGAAGGCGGCGATGCGAAGAGAAACGAGGGGATTAGATCGGCGGCTCCGATTGCATGCCGACGGCGTCGGAGCTGGAAGAGCGAGGGGGAGGAGGAGGATCGGACGATCGATTGAAGACGAAGAAGAAGAAGGCGTGCTGCGGCGGAGGTCGAATCTTGCTCGCGCTCCTTGCCTTCGCGGTGTCGGTGAGGGCGACAGGGAGGAGGAGGAGGAGGAGGAAGAGGAGCTCGTTTTGCGTAACTTGGAGGAGGAGGAGGAAGACGACGACGACTTCTTCTCTGTAATTCTGTAGGTAACTTCGCTCGCCACTATGGAGTCCGGGAGCCGGGCGGGCGGTCGGATCGGGTCGGATCGGATCGGATCGGATCGGATCAAGTGGATCCGGGTGGGTGTGGGCCGCTGGGCGGGTCGACCCGATCCCCAATGCCCTTTTATTCCTCGGTATGTCCTCGCGTTTCGATGGAATCTATCGCCACGTGCCTTGTCTTTGATCGACTTTTCAAACTTTTATTTTTTCCATTGAATAACGACGCAAACGGTCCATGAACTTTTACCCAATATACAATACGATCTCTAAATTTTGATTCAATATGCAATATGGTTCCTAAATTTGTAATTTGTTCATTGTTGTCCATAGATTTTTTTTGTACATGTTCAAGTTAGTCCATAGATTATATGAAAATGTTCAACGTTATCTTTTATTTTTTCAAGTTCGAGGACAACATTAAGCATTTTCATATAGTCCAAGGACTAAATTGAATATGTATCAAAAGTTTAGGAGTTACATTAAACAAATTGAAAGTTTGGTAACGACACTGAACATTGGGTTAAAGTTTAGGAACTACATTGAACATATTAAAAGTTTACAGATCACATTGCACATGTGGTCAAAGCTCATAGACTATTTGTGTCATTTTCTATTTTTTCGCATAATCTCAACCTCGTGACCATGTACTTTTCAGTTCCAATGTTAATTAGATATGATATGAAATCTTCGCATCATATGAGTATTGACACTTAAATTCGCATTTAACTTTTTCGTTTTTATTTTTCAAATCAGTATAATATTTTTGAATGTGGGGCAACCTTTTTGCTTTTCATAAAGTAAGAAACGAACACACCCTAAACCTTTCTTCGGTGTTTTGTATTTGCCTATTGTGCTCAATAGTCACATTTAGTTATATTAATTGATATTCCATCATGGGTCCATTATGGGTTTGCCAACTACTACAATACTTACTCATAGTATTGATTATTACTTGAAGTTCATGCACCCGAAAAACAACTGTCTATTTTCTCTCTCCCTCTACCTATCATGTTAATTAATTCTTATCTTAATGATGCTATATGATGTTAATTAATTGTTATCTTAATGATCTGTTCATTAAAAATTAATAATATTTATGATAACCCAATGATTATTATAACAATAGTTGTTAAATAAAGGGAAAATACCACCAAAAACCCCAAACTTTACCACCTGTGACACATTTACCCTGAACTTTTTTTTGTGACACCAAAAACCCCAAACTATGCTATTTGTGACACATTTACCCCATTGTACTTTAGTCCATGGGCATTTTCGTCTTTTTTGCTTTTTCTTTTTTTTTCCCTTTTTTTTTCCTTTCCGGCGAGGGCGGCCCTCGCCGGATCCGGCGTCGGGCGAGGGCCACCCTCGCCGGCGTCAAGCGAGGGTGGCCTCGCCAGATCTGGCGAGGGCCGCCCTCTCCGGCGTTGGGTGAGGGTCACCTCGGGCCGCCCTCGCTCGCCCAGGCGAGGCGACCCTCGCCCGACTCAGGCGAGGACGGCCCTCGCCGGATCTGGCGAGGGCGACCCTCGCCGGCATCGGGCAAGGGTCGCCCTCGCCGAGTCGGGCGAGGGTCGCCTCGCCTGGGCAAGCGAGGGCGGCCCTCGCCCAACTCAGGCGAGGGCGACCCTTGCCCGACGCTGGCGAGGGTCGCTCGATGCCGGCGAGGGTCGCCCGACGCCGGCGAGGGTCGCCCTCACCTGAGTCGGGCTAGGGCCGCCCTTGTCACCTAGGCGAGGCGACCCTCGCCGGAAAGGGAAACAAAAGAAAAAGCAAAAAAGACGAAAATGCCCATGGACTAAAGTACATTGAGGTAAATGTGTCACAAATAGTATAATTTGGGGTTTTTGGTGTCACAAAAAAAAATTTAGGGTAAATGTGTCACATGTGACAAAGTTTAGGGTTTTTGGTGGTTTTTTCCCTTAAATAAAATATAAGTTGTCGAAAATGTAATAATTATTTCAATATAATCAAATATTGTATATTGTGATTAATATTTATATAACCATAGTCATTTCTAGCGCCATGGGTGTCATTTTATCAGAGATATTTTTTATTTTTCACATGCATGGCACGCGCATGTTGGGTTGAATTGGTACTCTTTAAATTTTGCGATCAACACCGACGTCCAAAAAAATGTATATGCACGTAAGCAATCAAATAGACCGATGCCTAAATCATGAAACATTTTCGCACCGTAAATTTAAATTTTATAAAAAGAAAATGACACTTAAATTAGCATGTATTTTTTGGAATTTTATGGACACTCAAATTCAAAATCTCAATTTGAATTGAGATGGATGAAGTAGAACAACCAGCACAGCCCGCTGTGTCGTGGGCCGTGGCTGGGTCGAGTTAGGCCCATGATCCCTAATGGGCCGACCAGCCTCCAAAGGTAAACCAATGGTAGGACTCATGTGGCCAAGCTCGAAATTTTTAAGGTCTAACGTCAAGGCAAGTGCCCATTTTTTACCATTCCTCAATTCTCACTCGCATATCACTTACTTCGTTTATTTCCCTTCTCCTTACAAGGATTTTATCGTGTTTTGGATATCACAATGAAAAACAACAACAACAACAACAACTGCAATCATCCCAACTTACTCCAAACTTCATCGTGCGGCCGGAGTGGGACTCGTTCGGTGAGTTTCAATCCAACAATGCATATGTGTCGGCTTCACCCCTGCAACAAGCCGAATTCGATGACAGCGAGACACAATGACCCAAAATATTGAGTGGAATCGCAGGGATGAAAGCTGGAAAATAGTCCTTGCTAAGACGCTTCCTCAGATGATACCCCTGTCCTCGAAGAAAATCCTCCAAGCAACTAGGTCGTCGGCTTCGCAGACAAGAACGTCCAGAGTCGTGGGACATTCTAGCTCAATTCACTGCCAATTGCTCGAAAAAGCTATTCACACTATATGTGGCAAAGAATCATCTAGCTTATCGTCAAGTCAAACAGGCCGCTAGTTTTTCGATTCTTTCCACCATGGCTCGTCACTTATGACCCCATTGGTGTCTACGGTACCACTGGGTTCCACGTTCAGTACTAGCCCTTAGATCTTGGAAGACAATAGGTGCAGCTTGTTCGAGAAAAATTTAGAAATGACTGTCGTGGGGTGTGATCGGTATTTGCAAAAATTGACTCCAGCTAAACATGCTCGACGACGTCAATGGGAAGAGGAGAACAATAATGACATTGTATCATCCGAATCATGGCAAGGGACCGAAGACGTATAATTTATCAAACATTCTCTTAGGTGTAATTTGCGTGTACTCATTATTAGGGCACTCGTATGTGTGAGGTTTTTTGAAAATTATTTGAAAATGTCCTCGTACTTCGTTGCTGCTTAAACGGAGGCATGTTCTTTCACAAATTTTCCTCAATTAATTTCCGTATTATTCTTAATATTCAAAAAGAAAATCGGAGCAAGTTTGTTCGAATTTTTCCATTACAAAAAGAAATCAAATTAACATTTTTTTTAAAAAAACCGGATCGAAACAGTGCTGGGCCCGGCACAGAGAAATTGCATGCCTAGTAGCACAATAATGTGCTATTGCTTATGAAGGGCCATTGCTACATGTAGGAAAAGAAGTCTTTTGGTGGATGCATTTCTGGCCTTCCACCTCTATTATGCACATGTGATATGCTCATCTGCAAAATCTAATGCATTTCGACTGGTTTAGGTCAGAAATTACGATCGCCGAAACCCGCTTTGAACACTTTCATCATATTGATAGAAAAGGGTGAGACTTAGTACAAGTATGGTACGATGAGTGAAATGTGACAACATCTCACGAGTAAATGATAATGTGGAAAAGGCATGACACGACATACGACGAAGTGTCAACTGCGTGAGACGGTATGAGCGAACGATCATGCGGCATGTGATGCCATGGCAAATGTCGACATGACATGATAACTCGACAAACGCGTGATATTGGATATGCCGAGCTATACAAGAACGGCATCGCATTTGCGTGGCGAGCATACCAACGCGAGCTTGTAATCAAGTGGGGCATTAAAGTGATGGAACGTTCTTGATCGGCCGGACTAGTGGACGGGCTAAGGCCCCTTAACCAATACTTACTTTGCGCGCCCCCCTTCCCTAGGTCAAAAGGGAGCCCCAATCACCATATCATCGAGCCGGCAAAATAGACTTGATGGGGGGTCCTTTTCTTCTACGATTAGGCGGATGAGCCGAAGTCAAACTGTGACAAAAAAATTAGGGTTTTTGCCAAGGACCATCCTCTTAAGGTCAAAGGCGATTTAGGCGTTGCAGCAGAACGAACAAGTTGCAATTCGTTACTCCCTTTGAAAGCGAAGTACGATCCTAATACTATCGTATTGAACATTAGTTAGAATCCAAAATGCTTCTTGAGCTGACCCACTATTACTCGCCGACTTAAAAACACTCTGGGGGCTTGGCCGTATATAGCTTCGAACCCTCCAATTTGCCCCGGCACGTTTGACCCCTTACCATTTTCTTTTAATAAAACAACTCGTTGACCATTGACCGTTGACATTCTCCGGGGTCAAAGCGTTGATGCTTTCTGCAAGAGCAAAGTTCTGGTCAACTTGTAGTGAGCTCTACCAGAAACTTTGTAATATGCACTGAGGAAGATAGCAGATTGACCACGAAAATGCTTTAAAGTAACAAGACAGAAGATATTCAGATTATCAAGCGCTAATACGCGTGTCGCATCCGTTGCTCTAAATGCAAATGGCCGAAAATAATTCCTTGGCAACAATGCTGCCATGTACCGTGCAAGTTGGATTGGGTTAGGGGCGCTTGCACAGGTCAGTAGCATAGGCTTAAGCAGTTCGTGGGACTTACAGGATGTCTTTTGGGTCACCGAATAATCGAGACTCTGCGCTCGTGCCTTTTGATTATAATGAAAATGCTGCTGGATAACGATGACGGGGACTAATAGTTAGGGAAAAGCCCACGATTTGCATTGCCTCGTGCATCA